CGGAGGCACTGATCATTAGGGCTAACACATTGGCACACCGATCACTCGTACTTACAATCTAAACATTTCTCTGTTCACTCACTCATCCGATGTGTAGGTAACCCAAAAGGTGGATGTAGCCTAGAGCATTGATTTATTAGTTGTTTATTTATTAATTGACGTATTAAAACAGGTTGACTCCCAATCGCCTAACAAAAGTGCATCAAAGAACTTCGAGCGGCGCTGTGTTACATATATTTCAACTTACAAAGATAACATTAACACATTTGTTCAAATGAACACGTTATGTCGTGGCAGTACGGTTCAATGTCAGTTGTAGACGATAGAGAGAGATATAGTTTGATTACGATGCGTGCGAGACATGCAAGATCACGTGACGTATGGGGCGAACACGGAGAGATAAATATTTTTATAGCAATTAAAAAAGTAATAAATATATGTTATGTATGTTAGTTTAAGGCAAGTTACCTGAAATACGCCACTCCTTATTTTATAAGTGTGGATTTGATGGCATTTGGACAGTTTTTAACCGAACACTGTCGTTGCGTGGCGTTGTAATCAAAGCGCGTTCGAAACACGACTGTTGGAAAACAATGCACAATAGACGCTTGTGCGTAATTTTGCTTCCGACCTGAGAGTCTAGTCTTGTTTTCATACGTCAATGCTGAGCTACTCCATTACTGTAGTTCACAAATTTCAGAGAAAAGTATCACGATAATTGAAATAAGACACAAAATAAAATATTACAAGTAAATTGCAATGAGCATTAATAGGCGTTCATCAAACTAAAATTTGGTCGCAGGCGATGACCCTTATAAGGAAGAGTTCACAAAATGTAAAAATGTTCGAGGTAAAGGTCCACTGCCCTTGAGCAACGTCGAACACAAAACGTCAAGCACCTGCAAAATTACTAAAAATGCTCCAGTCCTTCGATCTTCTACCTATATTGTATCGTGCGCAGGAAGATAATATTTACATGGATATGTTCTAGCCGACACCCACCTACACATAGATCTACTCGTCTCCTCTTAAAGGATAACAGAATATCAACACCACTCGCATAGTTACATTTAAACACCTAAGCATTACATTTAGATTGCTTCAAAGTTGTTAACCTACACGTTTAATGCGATAAAACATACAATGTTCTCCGTCACACTATATTATCCCTTGCCTGTACCCTTGAAAATACTTACAATATTAAGCAAACAACTTCGCGAAGTTAACGGCCAGTTTCACCAGTAGGTACCTAGTGAAGTTACAGTTATTAATCTGTGATATAACACTCAAACTAAGATAATTGCTCGTTCTTTTCTATAAGTACAATAATGTGCAATTTTAGCCAAATTTTTCTATTCAACATCGGTGAAATCAAAATTTGTAGTTTACCTAGTTTTAGAGTTGTAAAGAACTTCGTCAGCAAGTAATGAAACAGGCAAATACTAAATGTTAGAATACTTGGGTGAATACAGTCCAGCGCTTTATTAAGTTCCAAGTTGGGAGCGTACCCATTTCATATTTATAATAAAAATGGCCTATGGCTATTTGTCTATGACGCGGCTGAATACAAGATGTGACAACAATTTGGTACAGTCGCCTTCAGATTGTCGAACAGCATCTTTAGAAGCAAATTAAATAAGTTCTTTTGTTATCGAAATACATTTACCTTATATTTTGCAAATTACAGTAGAGGGACCTTTTATAATTGTTTAAAAATTTAACATGTTTAAAAATTAAAAATGCTCCTAACTAAAACGTCGTTTACAATAAACAATAATGTTGGCAACTGTACACAATCACAAAATAAATAATAGAATAAAAACTAATATTATGCATATCTTCTATTTCACATACCTTTAAATTATTGTAGACAAAATAATGTATAACAATACAACCTAAAAATAAACATTTATAAGTAAGTAGTAATTAAATTAGTAATTTTAGTATCATTTATGAAAAAAGGTTAGTGAATTAAAACATTTGTAATTTTATGAGCTAAATGTTGAGCAATGCGTTGTGCTCTTTGTATTAGGGTCTTTACACAAACTCTTTAATTTTCTTCACATGGCTTGTTCGGATACAATACGAATTGTGTCAAGAATATCCTTAAAATGCTGTATAGTAAATGAAAAGTAAAGGTGAAGTCATAGCTAAAGGTTTAATTTGATTGCAACTAGGTAGGTAAATGCTTTACGTAGTATAGAGGTGTCCATTTCGGACTTTTGAATCGCGCGACGAGTTCGTGGTAAGACCCCTGGTGTACGGTGATGCGGAGATTAGCGAAGCCGCATTAGTTCAATATTTATGACCGTTTGTACGGGAATCGATGTCGTCGGCTCGCCCCCACTACACTTCCACCTAATAGATAATAGCCAATCAAACGTCGCGACACCAAACAATCGACCCAATCAGCACTCACACCCGAGAGCAATGACGTGTAGATATTAAATACCCTAGATACACAAAGTGCGCTCAAAATGTGTCCCAATCAAGAAGTGCTTGAACTCCGCTCAAGCACTTTTTGATTCAAAAGTCAAGATGCCGCAGAGCTCCGTGAAAAAATGCGAAAAATATTCTTATAGTACGTAAAGTGTCCTTTTATCGACAGGTGTCTAATCAATGTTTGTTAATTTAACGCATTTATTTTAACTAAAAACTGATTTAATAGAGAATATTATATTCCAATGCATCTTTGCCGTCTTTTTTCCTCGCGGTCCGTACCTGCTATTTTGCTAACAGAGCATCCAGAATTACGCGATGAGTCAAAGAAATTAAGTCTATATTCTTCCGCATATAGCCATAAGACGTAAAATTTACGAGCTTGCATTTCGAACTGTCACAACTGTTTGACGCATGCGTTTTAATTAAGACCTTATACAGTATTAAAGGTGACTTTCAATGTTAAAATAATGCCTAATATTGATTTTGACTCTGCGAACTTCTCACGGAGTTCCGTGGATCCAGTCCAATGTACCTTTTGGATAGGTTTCGGCCACGATTTTGTTTGTGTTGTTGTATCTAGGGTATTTAATATCGTTGGCATTGGCTCACACATAATTGTAGCGTGCCTGCCCCACCCACAAGGCCTTTCTAGCCTCTTTCTGTGTTCTGTGTTTATGCCACACTCGTTTTAAAATGTTCAATCATGCGATGTCTCGATTCAGAGAATAATCACAGCGACGCGCGTCCTCCGACATTTTTACATTTATGTTCATTTATCGCAACTATTTCCTAAACGATAAATTTAGGGAATACTATCTCGCGAGATTGCATTTTCTACTTGTTATTTAGAGCGAGGGAGGTTACCGAATGAGCACATCTTGCCTTACTCTTTAGTACGGTTATGCGAAAGTAAAATTGTTGAATAAATTATGAAGGACTCGCCATGATCGATTTAGACTTTATCAATGGGATTGAGTAGAATCAAATATTAAAGTTTTTATGAAAACTAAGCAGCGCCTCTATCGGATTTAAGAGCAAACTGACTTCTTCGATATATATTTTGACGATGACAATACGGTTACGGAGCAGTCAAATTTACGATCTATGACCGCTCCGTAACTCCGGTTATACGAAAGAAAAATTGTTGCATAAATTGTAAAGGACGCGCCATGATCGATTTATACTTTATTATCAATCTTTTATAAAATAATCAAATATTAAAGTTATATCGCATCATTAAAGTTTATATGAACACTAAGCAGCGCCCCTACCGGCTGTAAATGCAAACTGCCTCCTTCGATAAAAAAATTGACGATGACAATACGGTTACGGAGCTATCAAAGTTCGTAAATTAGTTCGGCTGTAAGTATGACATATTTTTACATCGTGACGTGCTAACCTCCGTATCCCATACACAAACTTGTGTTCTTCTCTTGCGTTTCACGCAGCATCATAATTTACATAGAAAATATATTGACCTAGTTACGTTTCAGTAATACAGACGAAATACGCGCTAAAAAAAAGTTCCCACATATATGCGTGTGTCTCGAATTTACTGCTACAGATCATTAGATTCTCTTTTATTTTGAATACAAGATCGAATGCTGATTTTTTTTGCACTGGAGATTAACCACTCGGCTGTGCAGCCATCTACTTTGTTTTTCACGGGCGGAAAATCAAAAAGTTTCCCGGTCGATTTTCCTCTTATTATTCGAGTTCTACTGTACACTCAGTGCTTCATTTATGTCTTGAATCAATCCTGAACAGTTTCCCTACAAACTTATCTATATATTGGATGTGTAAATTAAAAACCATTACTAAATATTATGATAAAATGAAAAAGATGAAAAATTAAAATAGTTTTCTCAACTCGTGGCAGAAATCATCCACTTACACACACGAGGGGTTAAGGGCAAAGGTTTTTAATTTAGAGAATTATACAATATGAGACTTTCTATTAAGATGTGCGGTTTGCGAGTGATTAACTTTGTTCAAAAACGATCTGAGGTTAAGATTCTATTTTTCACTCCCCCATAGTTATTCACTTAATCTTTCACAGTTCACTCAGTTTTCATAATTAGAAGTAGTGATAGATCGAGAGACGCACATAGATGTGGTTATTTAATTTATCACCTCATGATTCGCAAGCGATCGAAAACCGATTCGTCCATCCATTCATCCATTCGTTCTTAATTGAACAACCATACCGCGCGTATTTTGTTCGGTAAAAATTCGTAACCAAATGAAAACAGCTGTAGACAAAGAAAAACCAAGTTACTCCAGCGTTTTTATAATCGGAACGACGAGTTACAGTCATAGAGGTATAACAATAGAGTGGGGAAGGCGGCTCTAAAAGTGTCCGTCTAGTAGAAAGAGAAAGAAGATGGGAGACCACTAGCTCTCTCTCTTGTGACGCATGGCATGCAATGGCATCACATCGAAATAGTAAGATGCTTACGGTTGCCAATGCGCATGCGCGATTAGAGAGAAAGCTAGCGGACTCTCATCTTCTTTCTCTTTCTATTAGAGGGACACTTCCACTTGTTGTAGAGTCTATATCTCTCGTACTCTATTCTTATACCTCTATGGTTACAGTAGTTATGGTGGTTTCGTGTAGTACAATGAAGTGTAGCCAGTCGTAGCTGGTGGCTTCCGAGTATTTCATTCGTACATAATCCATCAAACAGCGAAAAACTATAAACGTTGTGTTTTTATATTCATTTTGAAGACTCACAGTGGTGCTGGTGGTTTCGTATGGTCAGTCGTCCCACTCGCCGTCGCTGGTGGTGTCGGACTCTTCCGAGTCGGACGAATGTATGGCGCGGTTTCGTTCGTGCAGCGCTCGGGCCAAGGCACCGGCTAATCCGTCGCCTCCGGTGCAGACGGGCTCCACGTTACTCGTTGAACGACTCACCTGGACATACGACAGATACTCAATGATTTTATTGTGTTCCATAAGTCATACAAGATGTTAAAAAAAAACAGCGAGCCTTACAGTAGTCGCGTATGATGTTACACACATTTGAAAACTCACCTTATATTAGTAAAAAATAAATAAAACCTACTACAAAAGGAATAAGTCATTTGAACATTATGTTCTAAAAGCAAATCAAAAAGCGCGCGCTTTAGCGACTTCCTGTTACACACTTCCGTCCCATTTCACCAAATCTCTCCCACATATTGCAGGAAAGCGAGAGGAAAGATGTTACACATCAAAAAACGAGTGTGCTTATGACCACACGACTGAAGTGAAACTTCTTTAGCTCCATCTGTATGTATATATCTTTATATATATAATTCTTCTGTGAGTGTGTATGTCACTGAACTTCTCTTAAACGACTGGACCGATTTTGATGAAATTTTTTGTGTGTGTTCAAGGGGATCTGAGAATGGTTTAGATTCACAAAGACGTGTACACAGGACAACGTCTGTCGGGTCCGCTAGTATATATATATAGCATTAGCACATTAGCCGCAGAACTGACGGCCGATGGAGCCGTAAAGTTCTTGAGTGGAGACCGCCAAAAACACTATATTCTCAATTGTATAAATAATTAAATCACTTGTAATTAATACGTTAAAGTTTCGTAATTTTTTTTCAGTAAACGGTAATTTTATAGTAATTTACGTAATTAGCGGGGATTGCGACCGTGTCTCTTGTTTTTCGTGAGTCTCGGATATTTCGACATTCTTGCAAGTGAGCAGGTGCGAGTTAATAGTGAGTAGGTGTACGAAGTACAGTGCATTCAACTCGCATCATAGCGCGTGGTCGTCAATTTTCTTATTGAACCAGTTTATTTTGTACAATAATTTTAACTATAACTTATTTTAGTTAGTTCACACTCGAACACCATTCAAACCGAGTGTGCTCATACCATTACCATTTACCATTTTTAATATATTGCGAAATTTATTCTTCTCTTTTTATTTTACATTAATTTGTAGGACTTACACCCTACAGTAGGTGACCTAAAATCTAGTTTTCCCTTTTTTTTCTATTTTCCTTTTTCTTATTCATTTTAAGTATAAACAAAATAAGTAATTGTATACTCACAGCGCGTAACTCGACGCCTTGTCTGATCTCGCTGAGCAGGTTACTCCTGCTGTCTTCGTTGGCAGACGTTTTCGGTACGACTTCCACGTGCTAAACAACATACATTGTTATTTTTCATTTTTTCACACACACACACCAAAGCGTGATTTATTTAATTTTACTTTCTAGTCTTCGCGGTTGCAAGGTTAATTTTTTTTTAATAATTAAGTTTCTTAAATTATTTTTCGATTACGTCTAAAGAATAAATTAAAAATCTATGATAGATCGATAATGAATCTCGTATCGAAGTGGAAAAAAACTATTGGCTTTAAATTAGAGAAATTTGTAATTTTATATGAAAAAATATTAACAAAACATTGCGTATTGTTTTTTTTATTGCTTTCGAATACTGTCTGCCTTGGGACGGGTGGGCCAACTGATGTTAAGTGGTCACCGTGGCCCATGGACATTAGCAATGCCAGTGACACAGTCATGTCGCTGCCTTTCGTGGAAAACTATTCAAACCTTTCTTGAAGAGGACCATGTTATAGTACTAAGGGAAATCCGTGGGGGCAGGGCCTGTTCCAAGGGGGGGCGAGCCGGGCGTTTACCCAGAGCGACAAAAATTAGGTGCGGCAAAATTTCTGGATTGGGCCCTGCGTAGAGGGGAGCTTATTACTTTTTTTTAATTCCTATTGAAGGCGAGGTCATCAAGTACATGAATATTGAGTTTTTGGCGGGATTTCATCGAGTGCTGTTGGCGTCTTACTTTAATTATTCTTTAATTTGTTCATAGTGGATATTGTGAAATAAAATTAGTGTGATTTGGTGTAACAACCGTCTGCGCAACTGAAGAATTACAGGAATCTTTAAAATATACGCTATTCCGGTCAAGTGAACACGAGAACCACACAGAACCTTATCGAGAAAGATGACTCGATACATTTCGTGCCATGCACTCCAAGAAACATTAGAATGTGTTACACCCACATCCCAATGTCAATTTTAAAAAAAGAACAATAATAAAACTGAAGACTAGGCTGTATGTGCAATGTTCCTCATGCCTTTCCTGAAAAAGGAGAACGTAAAAAAAATATTAAAACACTCACCCGGAGCCCTTTGTTCCCTTGGCGGATGCTGTCCATGAGTGCGGCGCGCGGATCCATAGCAGGCGCGGCGGCGGCGGGGGTATCCGATATAGACGCGGGCATCGGGAAGGGGGGCGCAGGGGGTGCGGGGGGAGGGGGCGGCGGGGCAACGGCGGGCGCGGGCGGAGGGGGAGGGGGCGGGGGGGCCGCGCCACCCGTCGGGGGCGGAGGGGGCGGCACCGAGGGGGGCGCTGACGTCGGCGCTGTTGGTGAAACGAACAAGTAGAAAAATAGAGAGAAAAATGTTTATTGAAATATATCATAGGTCAAACAGTAAAGTGTTGTAGCAATCACAAGGATTTAACCCTGACGCCTAACAATATAGGACAAAGGTACAATTCCGCAATGGGCTGCAGACTGCAACCGCAGGCGACACTGCAGCTAGCGCCTGCGGCTGACCGCAGTGCTGCCTGTGGTCGCGGCAGCTTCTATTTCGAGCGCGGCGACATACCGCGGCTGCACAAATGCATATAACCATGCCTCAGTCACTCCAATACCTTCGTGCGAGACAGAATGTCGGACAACGCTACCGATAATTTACTAATGTGTCTTTTGTGTGAGGAAGATGATGATGACTTGTTGTTACTATATTATGTCAAAAAAAAAGCAAAGCGTCTGATCTTTTATTTAAAAGTCGAACCGAAGAAGGAATTTATTCTAATCTGATTAAATAATCTATAATTGGTGCAGAGGAAAAGTTTCGGAAGTACTGTCGTTTAAATAAAAATCAATTTGGCTTTGTGCTCTGTTCTATTAGTGAAGAAATCCAACCGAAAAAGCGACGCGCTATAACAGCGGAGGAAAAATTATATTTAACTATGGGAGTTAGCTCATTCGAGTATTGACAGATTTCGATGCGTTCAAACTATGGTAAGAGCATATCTAACGATTTAAATCTTTGGTGTGACCTCTCTACGGTTGGCGACACCACTGGAACTGCAGTCTGCGGTCGCTGCACGCCGCAGCCGCAAGCAACGCGCCGCGGTTGCAGGCCGCAATGTCGCCGCGCTCGGAATCAATTTCATAGAGATTCATAGAAACTAGTAGTGTCGCCTGCAGTCTGCGGTTCAGTTCGGACTTGTACCTTTAACCTGTTTATAAGGAGCCTATATTCTTTCCAAAAATGACAAATTTAAATTGTAATTTCATGAGCGTACATTAGCATAAACAAATGTTTAGACTTTTAAAAGTAGAAAGTAAACTAAGCATTAGCAAATCGACATACATAAAGTGTTTAATAGTAATAAGATATTAGCTTTCATTATATATTATAAGAAGAAACAGAAGTACAGAATGAAGAAAAACTTCACAGCATGTAACAATATTTATAAAATTGCTACAGTGTCAATAGAAAATCATTTAATGAGATACATTAATTCAACTTCGACATCGTCGACTAGCATCTTGATAGCTCTGCCATACAGTTTAAATAGCAATAACATCACGTTTATTTATATCAGGTACATATAACTAAAGTACGGTAGCCGGGCAGAAAGAATTTCGTACAATGACCCCACGCCGTGTGAAGTACTGTGTGCAAGCGCGACAGCAACATAATTGCGCGCGAGCGATAAGTATGGGTAGCGTGGGCTCATTGTACGAAATTCTTTCTGCCTGGCGACCGTACTATAGATAATAATTTGGTTTTTTTTTATTCAATCAAATCAATTACATTTTAATATACAATGGTTGTATCTAAACACCCTTAAACATGGGTTTATCTGTCTACAGCGATTCTAACAAATATTTCTTTAGTTTATGTTTACAATTATCTTTCACATACAATTCTTGAATACTGGGGGGGCATTACATTTAGAAATTTAGGAATAACATATTTTAGTGTTCTCGAACCATAAACATTGTTGGTTTTCGTTAGGAGATATTTTTTATAATTAAAGTTACGCAAGTATTCTGGACGATGGTGAGTTTGTAGATAGTAAATTAGTGTGCGATACGTACGTTGGTGCGGTCTCGGCGGCGGCGGGTTGCGGGGCGGCGGGGGCACGGCGCGCGCGGGGGGCGGGGGCGGCGCCCGGGATGCTGTATCATAATAAGAAATAAATATTTACAACACTCATACCAATGAGGGCTACCGTTTTCTGCCTCACCAGATGGCGCCACTGTTGAGTGAGGTCCTAAATTGTAACTTTTAAAGTTTATTAATACGCACATAAAATCAAAGGTTACATTTAGATCGTATTTTAACAAAAAAGAACCATATTCTAAACATAATAGGCCATGCCACAGTGACGCGCAGTTCCGTTTTATTCGGAAAAAATGGGAACATAATCATTTTTCTAAGCTCAAATTTTTAATGACTGACATTCATTGCCACATAACTCATATTTGCCATAATTAAGCCGAAATGTTACCAATTATTCACAACATTATTTTAATTAGAAATAAACCCGCGTAGTCAAGCAACAAGCAATAACATTTGACATTTCGGAGACCTCACGCTACACTAGCGCCTCTAGCGGCGGATTCATACGCGATAGCCCTCATTAGCCTAGCCCCAAAGTAAGCACTGTAAGGTTTGAGTTATTGGATACTAGGGCAACGGATAGAATACATATACAGTACATTTATATAGAAATACATATTAAAAATCCATGACTGGAGTAAAAATGCTTGTATTCATCACACAAACATCAGCTCGGGATTCGAACCCGGGACCTCTCGAGTCGGCGACACCATGACACCCGGCGTACAAACCACTCGGCCACGGAGGTCGTCATATACGTAATATTATATATAAAATTCTCGTGTCACAATGTTAGTTACCATACTCTCCGAAACGGCCTGACCGATTTTTATATCATATTCCGTAGGTCTGAGAATCGGCTACAATCTATTTTTCATATCCTTAAGTGATAATGGTTGTCCACCTGTAACGTAGTGTTCTGAAACCTGCCTTTGCGCCTTCGCGGCAAAATTCAAACTATTGGGTATTGTAACGTAGTGTTCTCATATGGGTTAGGAGGAATGTTATTTTAAACAATATTATTTTTTTATAATGTGGTATTAAAAAATACATACATCCCTAAATTTTCTCTTCTACCACCTGCTCCTATTTTAAGGCGATACGAAGTTCGCTGGGTCGGCTAGTAATAATATATTATATGGTACTTACGTGGTGCAGGTGGATGGGGCGGGGCAGGGCTTCTAGACGGGACCGGAGGCGCCAACTGTCGCTCCACAGTCACCGCTGTACAACATCAAACGATTTATTGTTTTTAAATTTTCATGGTAACTAACATTACAACTATTAACGGGATTGTTACCATTGGGAGTGTTACTCCGTGATCGTGACGCTTTCAACAGTGCCAAAATATCGGAGACTCATAAAAAACAAGGTAAATGGTAACAATCCCGTTAATAGCTATAATCAAACGATTTATTTAACTTTATAAAACCACATGAATACAGAAGGAATAGAAACAAAGATTTATACAATGGGGAAGAAATCTGCCAATTTATCTCGCCAGGGGCGCAGGTTCATAACAAGACCCAAATCGAGACAGCTGTCAATGTCACATGGAAAACCAAAAAATGACATAACGATAATTGATAATACAGAGGAGTTATAAATATTAATCAAATAAATTAAGATGTTTCTAGTTTTTCTTTCTCTATTTAATTTGGGTAGATTTTAATATGTTTTGATTTCATATTGTTAATGATGTGAGAAATGATTGTTTAATATCTTAAAATGAAGCCTAATTATCCTGAAACACATGATGTCCTAGATCAGGTACAGTGACACAATAAAGAACTAAATTAAGACCTGTATTATTAATTTTATGAAATAATTTAAATAAGTATTTATATGAGTAATGTTGACAAACATATTTATTAGGTGCCAATTGTTACTAGCATAGATTGATCAATGTGTTTTTTTTAAATAAATTGGTTTGATTTAATTGTTGACATAGAGCTTGTTTAACTGGTCCTAGGGTTGAGCGATGTGTCTATGATGCTTATCCCATACCTGCTTGACGAAATGCGCTAAAATTTGCGTTCGAACTTTGAATTAAATACGTTTCTTCAGATGCACATACAAATTTGTCATCTCCCACAATTTTTTTAGCGTATCAAATTATCGCCTCCCAAGGTATTGTCTAGCGTCTATAGACACGCAACCCGGTAATTCATTACAACAACAATGAACAAATTCAAATTATAAATTTAAGCACATTTAGTACCAAACGCATCCGAAGCTTCGTCGCGCAGGTATGATACAAGCATGATACGGGTATTTTTAGAACTTGGGAGTGTAGTTCGCAGTCTATCGATACTATAATGTTTTTTTTTAAAGATCTCTCATTCTATATTATGGTCTTATTATGTTCTCTTTCCGTTTGCATATTGTATGGGGTGTTCTCGTTCCGTACTATGCAAAGGGGGGAGGAGCTCGATGGCGCAGTTGCTAGGACAATAGGGTGTTACTACAAAAGTTTTAGAAAACGATGTCACGTTATTTACTAATGTTTATGGAGTCCATAAAATGTAAATATTTTTAAATTCTGTTGTGTAAATCAGTTAAAGAACTATATTAAATATTAAATTTTCAAGTTGCCACGAAACGGATATCTGGACATTGTGGCGTCTCACTAGTGTGTGACGTCACACGACTGTCATCAAAACGTCAGACGATAAAATGTAATGCCACTTTGGCCGAAAGTTTACTAGCTTGTGACGTCATTTTAGTTTTGGCCAATCCCAGGCGTTTTCCGTCAAATTACCATGGAGCAAAAAACAAATTGCTAATTTGACGACCTCCGTGGTCGAGTGGTTTGTACGCCTGATTTCACGGTGTCGCCAACTCGAGAGGTCCTGTGTTCAAATCCCGGTGAGGGCAGATGTTTGTGTGATGAACAGTAATAGTGTGATGAGTTTTGGAAATATTCATTTATTAATTAATGATTTTGTAGAAAAGTTATTAATTTTTTGTTCTTTCAGAATAGTCATATCACTGCTACTGTTACAGATACCAACAGTTGGTACATTTGTCGAATAGGATATTCGTTTGCGACCGTGGAAGGTAATCTAGTCATCGGATGGATGATAAAATTTTTATTATCTCGAGTTCCTAAGTGCTTCGCAAGGCGATTTAAGCCGTTGGTCCCAGCTGCATCTGCAGTCGCATATAGTTAAGGCAAAAAGGAGTCGAAAAATGAGTTGAATTAGTTTCAGCTCATACAATAACAAAATTTACAGCATTTTAAAATTCAATTCAAAGTTTTCAGTTTTTTTAAATCTGTATTAAAACACGATGATATAGTAGACGTAGTATCCACCATTATTACTTCACACCACTAGTATATGCCAAAGTGTCAGCTGCCGACTCAGTACTTTAGTTTTCGTAACCAAGGTAACGCATTTATTTACAGTACTAATGACGTCAAGACCGCAGAGCATTATGGCGTCCTCTGCGTCCAGCGTTTTTGTTTGACTACGCGCGAAATTTGAAAACGTTAAATTTAAATGCATTTTTAAGGCACTTAACGATTGAATAAAAAAATATGTTTTTTTTAGTAGTTACTCTACAATTTAATTGACATACTTTTCAAAAATAGTTGTAATGCCCTATTAATGGGCAGATGATGATGAAAATGAATACATACATTAATAAAAATCTAATTACCTTTGACCGGCCGCTCTGTATGCAGCTCTTCTTTCACAGCGTCGTAGCCGCCATTTTGATTGATAAACTCGTATATGAACTGTCGCGTGTCTCGATCCTGCAGTTGGCTTTTCGATACTCCCGCCTTAGAGAAGAACGTCATCATCGCTTCCTCAGGCAAATTGCTTACGTCGAAACCTACGCAATGTAATTCGAGTCAAACGCAGATCCAACGTTATGAGCACAGCACTCCTAGTAGTGATCGCATTAAGCGGGTCTCCAGCAAAAGTTTTTTGAAAACATTCAACTAAAACATATACAAAAAGAGTAAGTTTCTGAAACATGTTTCTTTACACACGCAGTCTACTGCTCACGTGGCTGTCGAACACAAGGCTACGTTCACAAACTACGATCTAGGTGCAAAAAATTACAAATTTGACAAATGTTTCGGACAGTTTATGTCAAAATTGAAACGTCAGAATGAAAAGTTGTATTCGAAACGTAGGTTTGGAACGGAGCCTCCGCTAGCGAGTTGACAAAAAATTAAAATTTGAAAACCGATCAGTTGGCTAGTCGGCCCTTCTTTTGAATTTTGTTGAATCGAGGAAGAGAAAAAAATAAGAAACCGTTGTCTAAATACATCGTGTTTTACCTTTATCAGCGTTCCATCCGACGTGCGACACGTGCTTGAAGTCCTGCGGTGTCCCGATGTCGGCTTTAGTTAATTTCCTTGTAGGCTTCTTTTTACCCGAACTCTTTAGAGAATATCCACTGCCTGCAAATAAAAACCTTATTAAGTGTGTAGTTTAGGAACAGCTTAGGGACAAGGTTTTTACGAGAAAACTTAATTTACATATCGATACCTGATAGGTGGCGCTGCAGTCGGGTCATAGGATTATTTACACGAAAGTCACATAAGCGACAAAGAACTGAGAAATGTCTGAGGGCGTACGCTACCTTAAGCGGGAGTAGTTTCGTGTTATTTGATAGAGCAGCTGCGTGAGGCGGGTCTCACACGTTCGACTGGATGTCTTCTGTGTCTTCGTCTTTTGGCTAGATAGTAATTTGGACCAAAATATCAACTGCTCATCTCGCGAACGAAATTGTACAGGTGGTGCTACGAGCGAATTTTCGCGACGGCAGTCCACTCCGTGCTTCAGTTTAAGGCAGCACATGCCCTAAAGGACGCATGGCAGTAATTACGTACCTATAAGGTCTTGCGCATAAACATAGATAATGTACTACACCTTCCCTAACTGTTAAAAAAACAGGTCAGATAAGTGTGGAAGAGACGCAGCGATAGGTCACCCACAGTTCGTGTATTCATGTTCTAAGTAGTGATTAATTTTATACGAGTGACGCTCAGTCTATTCTCTATGTGTATGGAGTGGTGACGCAACATTCTAGTGCAACATGGAGTGGGGGTTTATACCACTCCTATCCATATTCTGCGTTAACCGCTCACCATCATGTGGGCTGCATGTTTTTTTGCTACCTAAATGGCAAAGAAAGATCTGTCTTTTGCCGCCACCGTAGATCGTATCACGTGCAGCGCCGGCGCGCCGTTGTGGCGCAGCACGGGGGCGCGCTGTACCGACCCGCCTGTCTACATACATACATACACCGCCACGTACCTGCGAGCTGGGGCGCGGGGGGCTGCAGCGCCGGCGCGCCGTTGTGGCGCAGCACGGGGGCGCGCTGTACCGACCCGCCTGTCTACATACATACATACACCGCCACGTACCTGCGAGCTGGGGCGCGGGGGGCTGCAGCGCCGGCGCGCCGTTGTGGCGCAGCACGGGGGCGCGCTGTACCGACCCGCCTGTCTACATACATACATACACCGCCACGTACCTGCGAGCTGGGGCGCGGGGGGCTGCAGCGCCGGCGCGCCGTTGTGGCGCAGCACGGGGGCGCGCTGTACCGACCCGCCTGTCTACATACATACATACACCGCCACGTACCTGCGAGCTGGGGCGCGGGGGGCTGCAGCGCCGGCGCGCCGTTGTGGCGCAGCACGGGGGCGCGCTGTACCGACCCGCCTGTCTACATACATACATACACCGCCACGTACCTGCGAGCTGGGGCGCGGTGGGCTGCAGCGCCGGCGCGCCATTGTGGCGCAGCACGGGGGCGCGCTGTACCGACCCGCCTGTCTACATACATACATACACCGCCACGTACCTGCGAGCTGGGGCGCGGGGGGCTGCAGCGCCGGCGCGCCGTTGTGGCGCAGCACGGGGGCGCGCTGTACCGACCCGCCTGTCTACATACATACATACACCGCCACGTACCTGCGAGCTGGGGCGCGGGGGGCTGCAGCGCCGGCGCGCCGTTGTGGCGCAGCACGGGGGCGCGCTGTACCGACCCGCCTGTCTACATACATACATACACCGCCACGTACCTGCGAGCTGGGGCGCGGGGGGCTGCAGCGCCGGCGCGCCGTTGTGGCGCAGCACGGGGGCGCGCTGTACCGACCCGCCTGTCTACATACATACATACACCGCCACGTACCTGCGAGCTGGGGCGCGGGGGGCTGCAGCGCCGGCGCGCCGTTGTGGCGCAGCACGGGGGCGCGCTGTACCGACCCGCCTGTCTACATACATACATACACCGCCACGTACCTGCGAGCTGGGGCGCGGGGGGCTGCAGCGCCGGCGCGCCGTTGTGGCGCAGCACGGGGGCGCGCTGTACCGACCCGCCTGTCTACATACATACATACACCGCCACGTACCTGCGAGCTGGGGCGCGGGGGGCTGCAGCGCCGGCGCGCCGTTGTGGCGCAGCACGGGGGCGCGCTGTACCGACCCGCCTGTCTACATACATACATACACCGCCACGTACCTGCGAGCTGGGGCGCGGGCAGGGGCGCGGGCGCGGGCGCGGGGGGCTGCAGCGCCGGCGCGCCGTTGTGGCGCAGCACAGGCGGCGCGCTTTCCACCGACGACGCCGCGCTGTTGGCGCGCGCCGCCAGCATAGACCGCTGTCGCCTCTCTAAATATGATGATCGAGATAGTTTATAATTTTAGTAAATATCAATAAATAAATTAATAGACGTGTCTGACAAGTATTTTAGAAGACAATTAATAAAATGAACATTAAATTTGAGTCTTATGAGTACAGAACCTGTAAAGGAAAAAAATCGCACTTTATATCCGTTCATAAAGTGTGTAATAACTTTCTTGACCTAGCAAAAGACTTCTGTTTCTGTATGCATTTTGTTACAAAAGCTACATACAATCATTATGGATACCCAGCCTAAATTATTTATTTGCTTAATTTATCGCAGTGAACATACTCATTCTGTCGTGAGTAGACTTACGAAAGAAATGAGTATGACATACAATCAGAAGCTGAAATTTGTATGCTAAAATAAAGATTCCTAAAGTGGGTACGAATATACATTTAAGTGACGCGAATGGGAGCTCTTCGTCTGAATTTTTAAATAGCAAAATATGTATTTTAGGCAAATTACGTATTAGATAGGAAAACATCATCTTTTAGTTTTAAAGGTGAGCATGCTTCGGAGCTGTGAGAAATGTGATCTGAGATTATAAATTTAACAAATTACAAGAATTATTCTATTGTTATTTTAAACATTAAACTGCTAAATTTTTAAACCTAAGGATATGTTCGGGTTGGAACTAATAAATGATAAACTGATAAAAAGTATAAAACTGTATATTTGGAAAAAAGGATTAAAAATAACTATAAAATAATAATTGCTATGAGTACGCGTGACTTCATGAGATGATGATTGCGAACTGATTTTGTGCAATAAAATTAATAACGAATAAGTAATTTAGGTCAACTAAATGAGCTGATGTAACGACGTACATCGCTTGCTCCTACAGGATAAAATACTAAAAAGCGCTTTACAGCCTAAGAAACACTAGAAGAAACTCGACACGATCAGTAAGGTCGCGGTAGCATAAATTCGTCAGTCCATCCACCCGGATAGCGGAGGGTGCGGGTTAGAATCCCATCTGTACCACGGCGAGTGTTCTGAGGAGTTATTCTCTCTTATCCCACCTTCCCCTTTCCTTCAGAGGACCACGCGCGCTGGCCTACGTTGTCACCGTCTTACTGTGGCTACAATTCCAACGCGTACAAAGAAATTTGATGACTCATTTCTTTGTCGCACTATCCGTAAATGGAATGCTCTGCCCGCTCACGTGTTCCCTCCCTCTTACAACCTGGGATCCTTTAAAAGAGGCGTGAAGAAGCAACATGCAGGCCGGCAGGGTGAGGATGGCTGGTGTGGTAGGTAGAACTGCTGTTTCAGCTATCTTCACATCTGGACTTCACCTTCACTTAACATCAGGTGGGGTGGAGTCATTTGTCGGACCTATCTATAAAAAAAAATACTGCTGCCTGGACCGCGTGGAATGTTTTCTATAGACTTAAATTACAGGAATATTAATAAGCATTGTATAAATTCATTACGAACATGAGGCGGTTGCGGCGAATAATATCCATAAAAAAACCGGATCAGATATTTGTCAGATCAAAAAAAAAATATTGACAGCAACATAGTTAAAAAGACAGATAACGATTCTATTTTGTGTGAAATAATCTCGGTTTTGAGTCGCGTGACGCTTCCGCAATATGAATATTTGTGACCGATCGATGCGATAGCACAATTAAGGTACGACGGCCTCGAGGGAAAACAATTCATCAGACTTTATATTGAGTGTGCCTCAATCACGATAAGGCCCAATTTATCTATTCGAAGACAAGGTCGTGTTATAAGTAAAGACTTCCTGGCATTTGAAAATTAAAAATAGTAAAGTACGTATATAATTTTCGCTCGAGAAATGATCATTAATGATTTATTTTTGTAGACATGACATGCCTATTGTAGGCTTGAAGGTTACCGTTAGGAATTTCATCAAAAATACTATCCACACCTAGTTCATAATATTATTTCGGACACAGAGCATCTTAACCCCTCGTTTCCGTTCCGTTTTCCGTTAGTTTTAAACAAAACTTGTAGAATACTTGTTTTGTCTGTTTAAAAAATTATTTCGTTTACAGTGCATATACACCTAGTGTCTTACAAGTATAAATCACTTATTTACTTCACATATTTTGTTTATCCAACAATTTTGATGCAAGTATTGTATACTACATGTTTTATAAATGTAGATAAGTGTGAACAATAAATTAAGACATTGTATACAATTTGTTAAATACACGTGAACCTGTGTGTAAACGAGGGATTACATTACAGGTAAATTAAATATAATACTGAGGTCGATTCTAGCATGATTCTCTATACTTTAAACTAAATTTAACATCAGTCTCTCCTTTTCATTCTTTATAGAAAATGACAAGGATAAACTGTTGTCAAATTTAAGTTTAGGATTAGAGAATCACGCCAGAATCGACACCACCGTCTGACCTCCTAAATAGAAACTGTGTACTTAACACAGAAAAACATCTGTGTAAAAAGTTGTCTAAGCTCCATGGGGCAGAGTTCCATATTTTTAAGTCAATTTAAAAAAAATATATTCAAATTGGAAGTACAATACAACTCTTTTGAATCGTCCTCTTGTGTTTATCAAACACACATTCTAATATTATGGATGCGATAGTAAATTGAGAGGAGGTAAAATTGAGGACGAACATATTATTTAAAGGCATAGTACATGTTATTATTAAATTAGCACAAAAAGAACTTATGGTATAATTAGCCGTCAGAAGTCATACAATCGTACGTCATTGCTTGTGTAGGGAAAATAAATGTTAGTAAACACAGTGAGCACATGACGGAGAGATGCGCTTGCGGTTTCATTGTAATTGCCTACCTACCTACTACCGTCTTATCAGACGCCGTTTAAAGAAGCCGAGGAGTCTTGTTTTAAGTTAATGACAAGTTATGGTTGGAGAAAGACTAAGGCCCGTATTACAGAATGACAACTGTATTTTGATCTTTACTTGAGTACAGTTAGAAAGGGATGTCGCTATGTGCTATATATAGCGACATCCCTTTCTTACTATGCTCAAGACTAGATCAATCACTGAAAATCTTTCTATATACGGGCCTAAATCCGTCAATAAAACATGAATTAATAAATATTTAAATGCAAGGACATTTTATTTGAATTGGCAAATACGCGTTAAATGTAACAGATCTTTGTTTAATATCGTAAATCCGACTCGATCTGTCTGTCTGTTACGTTACGCCTAACGCGCTGGATCGGTTTTGATGAATTTTTGTATGGAGAAAAATACGGAGACGGGCCAAGCAAAATAATTCTAGGCAGACAAAGACCCCAGTCGCCCATTACGCTAATATTCATATTAATACATCATAATAGATAGCGAAATTGGCAACAGCCATTTTTCTAGGGGAAGGCGTAAAAGTAGCGGCAATATATTAGCTGCATATTTCTTTGTCACAATTCGATTTAGATGTTTTAGTTTGAAAGGGTAACAGACAGACATAATAACTTTCGGTGTCATTTATAGCTTAACATTTTAAGTTTGCAAAATATATCCCTTTTTGATCCGGATATTATAGAAAATTAAGTTTATTTTATTCAGGTAAGAAACCCAAAAAAGAAAATTTATAACGTCAGTATTACCTTCTCTCCGCTGTTTCCGTAACTCAATCTTCTCAATGAGAATATTTCTAAGAACTCTGGCTTCATCTTCGCTAGCAAAGTTAAACGCTGTCATGTATTCCTGTAAACAAAATGTAATAAAAAGAATAACATAAGTTCTAGTTCTTAGGAGTTCTAAAGTTATGTACAGGTTGAGCGGTTTAGTGCACGCGTAACTGACTACGCGTATAGTGGAAATCGCAATTAAGGTGTCGATTCTACTAAGTCGGCAAATGAATTGTGTCCCAACGATATTCCTTTAAGATAAATTTTCATTTGTTTCCATCACTATTCTTTATTTCAAACATGTTATGAGGTAATCTGCTTGACTTTTGCAAACATATCAAAAAGAAAAAGTGCGTTCTACTGATGCAGATGAAAAAATAATGTATTGCAATTGTCCCTTTCGCTTTCATTCACTGAATTCCAGGTATGAGTTAACGTGTCAGTTGTCGAAATACAAGTGCTTATACAATATATGTAATTTAAAAAAAACATTAAAAATAATGTATGCTATTTTTCTTTGAAATTCGCGATAAATTATATTACAAATATTTTATTTGAATAATTATAAACAAAAAAGTAGTAAAGCTTGTAATTTTATAATAAAATTTGGCTGAACGTAAGATTATAATTTCAACTTTGTAGAATCAACCTTCACTCGAAACAAAGCTTATCTTTATATTATGTAATAATTGTTTATTCATGTGAAAAAAATCATCATAACTAACAAAGCTATACTTGCATTACATTCAGATGACAGACAACAATCCTGAATTATAAACGGGACAATTTCTACCAGGCCCTATACCAGCTAAGATTGTTCACGAGCACAGCTTGTACCGACCTAATACCGTCGATATCCCATTCCCAACCCTCCCTTAGATTAAAACAAAAAGGGTAGATACGGTACGCTCATACTAGCATCAAATAAAATATGATCTGACTCAACTACATAAGCAAGTCTCGCCACACACATGTTGTATATAAACATCAATCGAGCGAGCGAGACAGAACTATACGCTTCAATGCAGCGTATTGTTGTCCTTTTCTTGCTTACAAAATGGCGATTACGTAAATAATATTCACGACAAACCGTGATTTTTGAGAATAAAAATTTTCACAGTTTTACAAATGAAAAGCGTTTCCTGGGCATTTGCTTTTGAACTAAGTAGTTTTGTTCTTTATTAAAGCATCAAAGGCATTGTATTATCTTCATAACACAGAATATACGCAATATTGTTATATTGAGTGTACATGCAGTGTGTTTGAATGTCAAATTGTGACTAAAGCGAATTATGGTCGTGGACCACAATTTAAGCGGATCACAAAAGTGATCCGAAAAAAGAAAGAGCCGCGAATGCCGTATCTTCCCTTTTTGTTTTAATCTAAGAACCCTCCATAGTTTCCAATTTCCCATCCCTAACTGATGCCCAGATGAAGACAAAGTTTAAAACCGTGCCTAGATCCATGAAGAAAGTGTGTCGTTAAGAAGCTTTATTTGATTTTTTTTTGTTTAAATCCCAATATCTAAAGAAAAATGGTGTGATTCTGATTTGTACTTAGTAATTTTCATAGCTAAAGGTTAAGTAACTTTTTTGTACTAAAAATTTTAATTTTATTTATTAGTTATCAAAACTACAATTTAGATGTTGTAGTTGTTGTTTTCAGTTGTTATGTATATACAGGACGTCCCATGGCTACCTCACACGGAGGGAAAGTATATTAAATATTGAAGATAGGACATTTTACTGAAAGAAGACGTCATTTTATTTTTAATAATAACTAGAACTATAATATTCACAGATTTTTTTAAAATCCCTGCTACAACTGGGAATCAAACTTGTGAAATTTCGAAAAAAATAACATGGCTTAGTTTATGATAACCAACAAAAGACGAATTTATGCCAAATTTCATCCAAATCCATTTAGCTATTTTTAGCATGAAAAATCAACAAACATCTATTCAAACTTTCAAATATATAATATTCTAAGTAGGAAGGATGAAACTATATCTACAGTTTATGAGCATTAAAGATACCAATAGTGATCTAGGTATAGATAAAAATTAAGTTAATTGTGTAATCTTCATAAGTAATAATGAAAACATGTTTTCAACAGCTGTATCAGATTAATTTGACTTATACTTACTTCAGCTTCAAATGTGTGTAAATAAGGCCTTGGGCTTTTGTACTCAATCTCCATGTACACTTCATGTTCCCAGACAAGAGACTTTCTGTAGAGACAGTATATGCGGAAAAAGTAGGACCGTTTGCTGTTGTCTTTTATAAGACAGAGCACCCCTGTATCTTTCTTCCTCCATTCTAAGTGTGACGGTCCTTCTGTTGTGAAAAGTTGCACCACTGCTGTTGCTAAACTCTGTAAACAATTATTGATAGTATTTTAGAGAATACACTTACAGAAGTATTTTCTCAATCATCTTCAATTACCAATACAACACCCCTTCTATGTTGAAAGAATTAATTAAATAGAACAACATAGAGATCGGGAATAGTGGATACAGAACTCAAAGACTGTAAACCTTTCCAAAGTATGTTATGAGGATAGGTAAAATTTTAAATTAAACTGTTGAAATAGCTGCTCAACATCTTTCCTGATAGGTATACTGAATATGTTTGCTTGTGAATATGAGATCTGATACATAATATAAATATATTTGGTTATTTGGAAGAAATACACAAATCTCAATTGTAAATTAGAAAACATATGAAAATAAAAAAAGGATACCTTAAATAAAAATCCTGAAACAATTTTTATGATCATGATTTTTTATTCCATTTATAATGAAGAATATTAACATGGTATTATTATATTACGGAAATATTAAGAAGTTTAGCTTTAATATAATTTGACATGTATAATACAAGGTAAGTCCAAACAATAACTCAGATTGAGGAAACTCTAAGACATAACTTTTGTAATGTCTTACTCCATAAATCTATAAAAGATATTACTTCAATAAAATATGTAATTTTGTAACATGTTTATAAAGTATTGCAAATAATGTGTAGATATTTTAGAGTAAGCAAAAGGCCTCCCCCTTTAAACAAAAGAAATTATGTGTACACTTTGTGAAAAACAATGTATTAAGCTTAAGGAAAGGAGTTACTTATTGAACTAAGGAACACCAAAAAGTGTTCCAATCCTATATAAAATTAAGTACATGGCAGTTGAATATTAAATAATAACAAACTATTTAAGTTATCAGCTTCTAGCTAAAATTTCAAACACTTATTCCTTATATGTGTTATCTATATTGTCCTGCTGTTGTCAAAATTCATTATAATATCCTCAAATAACGAAAATTTAAACGGGAATGTCAGTGGACATGTGGACATTAAATGTTGCATTTCATGCAGTTTTTATTTTTAGTATAGTTTATGGCTTTTTCTAATATAATGCAAAATTAGATGTACGGAAATTGTTTATGTATTAACAATGTTAAATCTTAAACCAATTTAATACATTTTTAACAAATCCACAGTTTTAAATGATTTTAATTTCATATAGCTGTAAAAATCTCTTAAAAATATTATATCATAAGATTGGGTTTGTTACTCCAATATTCATAGAACGCGAACATGGTTCTTAATCATAGATACTTCATGCAACTTTCCTTTTTTATATGGTACCACAACAAAAATGATTACAATTAAAACAATCAGCTACGTGCACAGATTTTAATCAACTGTAAGAGGCGGCACCTAACACATAAAATATATTGTGTACAAAATTATGCACATTGTGCTAAAAGAATCATAATAATGTTAGAAATATGTATATTTAAAATTTCTCGATAATAAGCTTAATCACGCTGATTAAAATGATAACATGTCAATTTCAAGATTATATTGTACCTACGTAATCTGAAAGTTATGTGAATCACGAGAGGCCAGTGGCAGGCCCTAGATACTTAAACATACCTGACATTTGGGGCCGATGAGACTAAACACCTGGTCGTTCTCCACTCTGGACAATAAGACACTAGGTCTATTTTCACCCCTAGGCATTCTTCCTGTTTAAAATAATAAAACACAGGAAAAATCACTTGATACATGCAAGATCCGAGGTGTCAGTCACCACGGTTTTCCAACATTTTAACACTAATAAACTTGACTTTTGGCACCAAACACATTCTCTAGATGAGAATAATACCATTTCTCAGATGGCAGAATTATTCATTTCACGATTTATTGCTAAATAAAGCAATTAATTTAGAAAATACTTTCTCAACATCCGTATGTGAAACATCAATCATCAAACTGACGTGAACTGACGCACAGATTAGACATTTTGCAGAGAGAGATAGAATAATGTCCACAGACAACAAAAAGCTATAGCTACTACGAAGATAGTGTTGTAGCAATAGATTGGTATCGAAAAATAATCATCGATTGTATCTTACAAATAAGGCCTGTAGTGCAGAAGTCTATTAAAATATATAAACATCAAAAATACTTTACACACACAGACGACAGTTCTACAATTCGGCAAACTGTGCACGAGCGGTCCGCTCGAGCTCATAGCGTCAGTAGTGGCGGTACTTTATGATGGACGAGCGTTTCATAGCGCGTTATTAATTTGTTGTAATTTTTATTGAACATTAATACGTCATTCTTTGAAGTTTTGTTTCATGTAATGTATGTATGCGGATCACAATATAACTAATCAAAAGGTACATTAAAAAAATATATGGTTTAGTACATTGAACATTCTTAAGTGATTTCTGATAAAAGATTTAATGCCTTGCTTTTATTTATCACCTTCTTCGAATAATTTATGAAAGGTATGTACAAATGTTTGTATTCATTTAACTAACAACATTAATTAATATCTGCCTTACCGGGATTCAGACCCAAAGCCTCCAAGGAGGCAACTTGAATCTCAATGTACGATCCACTCCGTCACGGAGTGCGTCGTGCTAACAGTAAAAATAATTCCAGGGTAGTACGATAAATAAGAAAATGTAGTTATATCAATCATTTATTCGGATACCGTTTCCATATTAGAACAAGTCTCGCTGTTTAGTTAATATTAACAAGGAACATTTTAACAAAATTAAAATTAATGGCGTGTCATGTACATATTTTGTATATTTCACCAATTAGACATTTCTGAAGTTTTCGAATGAATCCAAGAAATAATTTATCTAACTGGTACAAAAGTATGCTTTGCTACCTTAGTATAACAAGACAAAAACGGTACTGCCAAGGAAAAATACGTATTTGTGGTCAATAAATTAAAATAAATACTGTATTTACAAAATATCCCAGTTTGCACGCGGGAAATATATTTTTATACAAAGGATACCTAAACATTAAAAAAGAAATATTCTGACGGGGTGGGGGTTCACTCACGCTACGCTACTGTCGTACAACACAATATGTTGTCACAAACTGTTTGACAAATATTTGCGCATACGCAATGCCTTATTTTAAATGGCTCCCCGGGTATTTGCCGATTTGCTTGAATTCGGTGGACGGGGAATTGATACGATAACATTCCGTTTCCGATATAACCTTACATGTGCATGAACCTTAATACGCCTGTATAGAGCGACAAGAATCTTTATGAAATGTCTTTGTAAACATCTTAATTTGTACGTCATTTACGTACACAGTGGCGCCCTCCCTGAACAGGCACTCACATTCATGAAGATACTTGTCGCACTGTACATAAATTAAGTGATGTGTGCACCAAACAATAACCATCCAATCACTACACATATGCGGATTATAAAGTGATTTCTGATTGGATAATTTTGGCGTTTTTGCTGCTTATGAACCGCGCTATGACACACCATTAGTTACTTGCCAACAAAATACCTGATTCAAATCTTAGTTTAATCAAACTAAAAAAAATACTATTTTGTTTTTGTTTAATATTATTGATGAACTTCGATGCAAGTGACACGAAGACAAAATGCTTTAAGTTTATGATCACATAATAAATAAGAAGTCTTCATTTATTTATAATGGTTTACAAAGTATACTACGCTTCTGCTGATCACAATATGTCTACATTATCAATAGGTACACATTATACAAACTATACATAGGTACACAATTGACAGCACAAGTACTTACACAAAATTGAAGTAAGTTTAGGATAATTGGTCACATTTGAAGAAGGTTATAGTATAAAAATGCTAGATTTCCTCGCGCGCACAGTAAAAGGCAATTACAAATGTGACATTAGAACTATGACGAAAGGCGCCTGTTACCAGCTCCCGTAGAAATTGTTTCGTTACCGAGCGCTCTAGCAGTCGGACTCATGAAAAGTAAAAACTTTGATTATAAGTTATCAAATAAAATATTAAAGGTTGAGTTATCTGCCTTCGGTCAGAAGACACTGGTAATCTTAGTATTGGGCCCGCTAATAAAGCAACGAATCGCAAACGAAAACGCAGGTATTCTGTTCCTCTAGCAAATTATTTCTAACAGGATGTTCGAGAGGGACAGAAAGTTATGCGCCGTCATTTTCAAGTCGTTTCTTCTGTCACCTATCTCTGTGGTATCGCTTTTAGTAACCTAGCTAAGAAAGTAATGGTGTGTAGCTACTAAATTCAAAATGTAGGTACCAATCATCCTATGCTTACTTTTCGTAGAAAACTGGGGTACTACTCTCTCTCGTTATAAAACGGGATAGGTTACCATTTACTTATTTGAAAATTGTTAGCAAAAAATGGAGACGCACCGAGTTCATATTTGTATGGGACTTTGGCTAGGTCTTGTACAGAATATACAAATAAAGGAAATTAATAACCTAGTCGACTCCGACCATTAAAGTTACCATATTTAACTTTATTTTGCGGTACAGAGAATTTTAAAATCAATTATGACATTCATTACAATGGTGAACATAATTATTAAGGAAACTTATAGTCTTAGGATAGGATCTTTATAAATGTGGCGAAATTTGGAACTAACAACGCCGTCTATGTAAACGTCATAATTTCAAAAATTTGGATTCAAAATTGTTGTACTATACACTCAATTTGAATAAAGATATATATTGAATTCTGATTTCATCAAAAAAATTGTTTGTCTCTGTACATGTCTAAGTTTACTACTCATATGATAGCATTCCGTGTTAAATACACCAATGTCCTACTGAAATATAGGCCAACATAAAGATCATTTCTAATTATTAACTACAAATTTGTTTCGTTAAGCCACGTTTGTTACAATTCTTATCACAGTAAGTCCGTTTCAATCGTTTTAAGTGTAAACTTTTAATAAAATTTTATGAATCTGATCTTTCAATCGATCAACTTATAGGTATAAGAATCTACAAATTCCTATTATAAAGCTGTCTATGGTCAGGCTTTAGTATCTCTTTGTTTACCTTTGCTCTCAGAACGTTTTAAACGGACTATACAACATAAGAACTCTATAGGCAACCAACCCGAGAGAGAAACACAAGAACATCGAATAGGCCCCATACAAGTTTGCACAATTAAATTCGATGTCTGCTCAAGTGAAAAGATAATAAGGCGACAATAAGGTACAGGCAGCCACATATCAAGTTACGACAAACTGCCAATTTATTTTAATCGATTTTAAATCTTATTACAAGCAATATAAAGCACAAAGTAAAAACAAAATGACAGTTTTGGGTAACTAGATCTGTGACTGTACGTTTGTGCACGACAGATCTAATTGATAGTTGTCGATAGACGCAGAGCACCCAGTACAAAAATCACCATTACATTAAGGTGATCTACTTAAATATTTATGTAACTTTCATTGTACACGCGTTCATCAGAAAAGGCAACGTTCAAAACAATTAGATAATATAGCGTTGTTATACACATATTCGTAATTATATACTTCGTTATTTGTTGATTGAATTGTTAATCACATCACAGGATATAAAATTGTTAAATTTACTTCTTTCTTCCTTCAGTATTTAGATTATAAGAAATTACGTACAAAATAACATTCAAGAACGCTAAACTACACTAAAATGTTTAAATAAATTATACCCGGAGATCAGATTGAATTTTTTTCCTCTATTTTAGTAGTGGAAGTAGTAATTAAGTGAAATTAGTTGATAAAAACATTTTACTACATATAGTAGAAGTCTTATTAATATTACTTTATGATACAGAATAATAGTTGTACACGACTGTACTACAGACAGCAAGAAAATCGTAGTGCTGCGACCGTTTTTGCACACATGCGCCATGCAGCGAAATTTTGTTGAAATCACGTTTTATAGCTGGTGCATGATAATAGTAATTTAATAGTGGCGATTCTGGCCTGATTATCTTAACTTATCAGTCCCTCCTTTTCATTCTATATAGAGAATGCCAAGGATGCACTGTTGTCAAATTTAAGTTTAGGTCTAGATAATCATGTCAGAATCGGCAGCAACATCGGCATATTATTTTTAAAAAATCGACAATATGACTGAATGCCGTGCTTTAATTTAAAAAAGCGTAGAAATCAAATCTGAATCATTTTTATTCACTTGGGCTAACTTTACTGCATTATTGGTATGAACTTAATGTAAAATTTCACATTTCAAACCCATTTTTATAGATTTTCGAAGCTGCTAACCAGCTTATAGGGTCTCTCTTTTAATATTATGTGAAAATAATATGAAATTTTGCTAGCTAAGCGATTATTTCATTCAACAAAAATGTGTATCAAATGTCAATACTGACATTAAATTCATGCCAATATAGTTACGTGGCAAACCCCCAGAATCGGTCTCGCATTTCGCTGCATTGTCGATGGTGCAAAAAGCGCACAAGAAAGAGATATGCCATCAACTATGACTAACAACATAGATATACATTTAAGATTTTTTTTAAATAACAGCCTTCTTTTAATGTACAGCCAACAACCGGTCAAATTATCCATAAATTACAAAATTTTCCAAATGACTTAAGCTTTAAACATCATTTTGATATAAGATTTCAAATCATCGAGGAAAGGAGGCGTATTCGTATGGTAGACAGTCTGCGGCAAACTCCAAATTTTTATGAGGTGTAGTGCACTTAATTGTAAATCGTTTGCACAAAAACCAGATTTTAATTTATCTCCGTTTCATAATATTTTTTATAAAATAATATTATACAATTATTAATTGGCAAATGGCAACTTTATTTATCTTTTTTTTTGTTGACACAGAATGAAATATATTCTACTCAATAGCTAACTAAAGCTGTGATTATTATTCTGTTTGCCTTTCATTAGGTATTTTGTGGGTGTTTTATTTCAAGAAGAATCAATCATGAATTTGTATAATAAGTTCACCACGATTACACGAACATCATGCATGACTGGACTGATTGACATTATTAGCCCTGGTGATTAAGTATGGATTAAGTTCACGTTTTAAGCGCCATACACAAAAAATATGACGTTACTAAAAACAGGGTGGCCAGTATCCTTACAAAAGTGTTCAATATTTAAACACGGTTTTTAATAAATGGGGGATAAATAATAAATTAAAAGTATAAATTCATGTTATAATAAAAAACAAGCTTTCAAATGATATATGTTTTGTCACTGCCGGTAACCAACTACCACTTTTGAACCATCTCCTTTGAGATTACGCTATTATCTGATGTCGGCATTTCACTTGGCTATTCGTCTTTGCTATTTGTAAACTTGGCATCACCTTTTCATTCCATAAAGAGCATGATAAGGACAGACTGATGTCCAATTTACAAATAGCAAACACGAATAGCTAAGTGAAGTGCCGGCATGAGGTGCTGTTGACTGTACCTATAAATCGAAATTCAATTTGTTTCATGGCAATGAAAATAATGCTATGAGACACCCGATATTCAAAAATAACGTCAGTTAAAATACATATTAACACTGAAGATATTTTTCTGTATTTGCATATCAAATATACATAACCAACAATAAATAAACTTATCAAATAATAAGCACCACTAAATGTACCGATGAAACGTCTCACTCAAAAAATATAAAGTAAATTGTACTAAAGAAATTACTCAATGTGTTGCTAATAAACATTAAACTTACACATTATAAATTGAATAAATAGTCATTATAATATAGAACTTGACTAAACGTACGGAATTATTAACACAATTACAAACTCAATATATTTTAGCTAAATTACTCATTTTACTCACGAGTGCAGTTAGAGTACAGTAACCAACATTTAATGTCATTTATAAAGACTTTTTTATAGTTATTTATGCAAATGTTTTATAATGAGGGGTAATTCACGAATGTGGGTGCGGCGAAGGCGAGCATTATATAAATTTCTCCCGAACGTAAAAAAAAGTTAATAATTTGACATTCAGATGATTACATAGTATACACAAAGTTGACGTCACACAGTAGATGTCCTCGAACTGAACGGGCGGTAAATTCAAAACCATAAAAATAAATTCAACTTTAAATGATCTAGTAGAGAAAAAAATACATTAATTTATTTATTTTTATTTTTCTGTTAAATCATTTGTCCCAATCTTTAAATATAAGCAATTTTCAAAAATTTGTAAAATACCCTATTAGTGCCTTATTTTTCATACTGTCAAATAGCCTATTGTGACTCTCTGATGAGCAAGCCATTAGCGCAGAGAGGATTTAAAAAGGGAAAGTGTTATGAAATTTATAAAAAAAAACATTATAACACCCAAGCTATTGGTGGTGTTCTATTAATTTATTTTTTATAATTATGACATAGAATGTTTTAATGTTGGCAATAAGCTAACTGTTTCAGAATCTTCAGTAGCTGTTTTAAATCATTCATGGGTGTAGGTAGATAAACCACATTGTAAGGGCCAACTATTTGTTATCTTACTTTAAATAAAATAAAAGGGCAATGTAAAAAAGCTATCGCTAATAGGTATACGGTATCAAATAATATAAATAAGTTTAAATATTTTTGCAATTTCCGCGTCAAAGATAACTTTTATCCAAAAGGTTAATCATTGTCATTGAGCAGCCAAAAATATGACAGTACGTCATTGAAGTTAGCTACAAACAATACATACTGAAGTTAGCTAGAGACAACTTAGCAGAAAACGAGTTACATCCAAACATAACCGATTATATAACAAGTAATGTTGGTGACTGTACTTCAAATTGAGAGTGCATTACAAAAAATCAGTTCGCGAAATTAAAATAAAGCTGTATTCAATAAACCTATTGCTATTAAAAAACTAGACATCTTCAATGTCTTTTTCAGCTCATCATGGCAATAACAGTGTCTAACTAACATAAATTACCTGACTATATGTATATATAAATAAACTACGTGTGATATAAAATTCACTACGTCATACTATAGTCGTAGATAAGCGCATGGGAACATTACATATATACATATGTGTACTGCATGATATGACCCGCTTTCATTATAGGTAATTGCACTTTATTTTTTTTTATCATTTTAAAATTTCGATATTGTCTTTTTGTAATAATTAATATGATTACGAATCGTAATTTCATAGGTTCAAATTCAACCAATTAATTTAATGTATTCAAAAATACAAATTGGCTTCTTGCAAGTTTATTTTAAGAATATTTTTTTAATTACCTCATGGTTGCTCAATATCAGGTATTCAATGAACCTTCCGTAAAAATCTTTCAAAAAACTTACAACACTACTAATTCCTAAGCGTTAGGTACATAAACTTCAGAAAATGTTAAATTCGACTTGGAGCCTTCCTATTTCGTTTTGTTTCATTGCAGTGCCTACCTACCTCATCAATCACCGTTGCGTTGACATAAAAAGCTATTTTGTACACCGTACCTAAGCCGAGGTGGGCTACATAACTCAGTACTTAGTAATATTAGTTAACTGGTTGAGATTACTTAAGCTTTGGGCAAGTCCACGTCAGTCCGGCCCGGACCGTGAGTGAGGGAGACAGCTCAACTGCAGCCGTCCTTTTTTGCCGGCGGCTCGTCCGCGCTCTTCACGTCATGATCTGCAGTTTTCGAGGAACCCGGCTGTGGATTGTCGAGATCTGGAACCAAAAAGAAAATAGATTGTTATAAGATTATTTCAAACTTTAACCACCTCATTCCAATACGCGGAATAAAGTTAGTCTTGGTTTTGAGAGAGACAGCATTAGCTTTGCTGTCTCTGTCTTCTTTTTAACAAACAAAAGTAACAGTAAGGTAAGGCAGTATGAATTTTGCAAAGTGAAGAGATATTGCAATCAGTATTACGTTAATATATAGAATGCTATGTGACTACTATGACTTCTTGGCTTGTTTTCTGTTAGTAAAGATTAAGATTTTGTTAAGATCAAGATTTGTATCAATAAAATTTTATAGTTTTGAAGAATTTCAGTATGAAATTTAAAGCCAGGAGTGACTACTTGTGGTCGAGAAAATAAAATTTGATTAGGGTCGAATAGGGGGTTTTCCTATGAAGTTTTATAGTCCGACACGTCATACACTCTTTTAATTTAGCAATACGAAAGTCAGGTAATTGCCCGACTTGCATTCAGTCAGGCACGTTTTCTCGCCGCGGCTACACTTCGCTACTACGTGTAAAAGTTTTACTTTTTTCCAGACAAAAAGCCCTATGTGTGTTTTTAGATAGGACACACATTACACGGGAACTATGAGAGACAAAAAAAACGTGTCATTTCATTCGTAAGTACAGTTAAAAAAATATATGTATTAGGTAGTGATTACTTATTTTGACAGTTGCTGACACACTTGCCGCCTGGAGGCTAAAGGTACAAGTCGGAATTTAACCGCAGAATACAGGCCGCAGCTGCAGACTGCAGGCGATACTCCTAGTTTCTATGAATCTCTAAGAAATTGATTCCGAGCGCGGCGACATGCCGCGGCACAATGCCTATAATGCACGGTCAGCCGCAGGCGCTAGCCTCAGTGTCGCCTGCGGTTGTAGCCTGCAACCCATTGCGGAATTATAACTTAAAGAGCGAGATGTAATCTGCTTTATACATGAGAGTGAAAGAGACTTCTTTAGTGCGCTCTATTGGTGGCTGTTGCCAAGGGTACTTGGGGCATGGACTATTCTTTTTGGACATTTTTTTGGGGCATGGACTATTTGTGTCATTTAAAATTTGTAATAATGTTGGCGTAAAACCTGTCTATGTATTGTACGTCATTGACACCCGGTTTCTGAAACGCATGTCATCGAAAAAATTACGTAACAAGTTGTTAATCTCTATTTAAATGCACTTTGGGTTTCTCAATGAGCCAAGTGACAGTTTGTCAATGATTTGTTGTTGCAAATGTCAAATCTCGAATTAATGGCCGATTGCGGTAGTTTTCGGTTTCCGGAAAGCTTTTTTGTATGTTAACTGCATGTTAATGTTTTGTTGTGTTTTAATAAGTAATTGGTGAAAATTGATCAATTAACAGACTGTCAAAAGAAATTTTACTGATATTTTGTTCAGAGGATTGTTGTAGTGGTAGTAAAAAATGTTGTCAGATTTATCTGTTGACGATATATCCCTATCTAGTGACGAGGAAGATCTGGCACCAACTCGCCAGTTCCGGAAACGAATAAATCCTGTAATTCATTACAATGATGAAGAATTTAAGGATCGCTACAGAATTTCAAAATCTGTTTTCCATCAACTAATGGGAAAACTGACACACCTGGAACTTAAAACGAACAATTATGTACACTAAAGCCTTCCTAGAATTATGGCTAACCCAACATAAAAAGAATATTTCAATTCAGTTTAGCAGTTCCTGATGTTAACGCGTTCAAACAAACAAGCAAACATCTTTATATTGTAGTTTATATCAGATTTACACTATAATTATTTTACTTTTTATTTGCTTTAGAAGTAAATTCCAATTCTTTAATTTTTATTTTTAAATTCTTCAATTTTTTTCCAAGTCACGTTTTTTTTTCACCGTCACTGCATTGGTAGACATATTTTCTATTATTGCTTTGTGCCTACATTGAAATATATATTATCAATATACACACATCAAAAGTGTCTAGGGATCAAGCATTTTTATGCGGATTTCTTGAGATTGAGATGTGGCTTTGTAATAAATTTATGATTTTATAAATTTATATGGATCCTTTTTGGTGCATTTCATAATTTGAATCAGGAACTGTGAATCAAATTCGAGTAAAAGATGAAAATCAGCTGTCAATATTTTCCCTATAAAAACATACAACGCATTGAAGACATTATTAGTGCTACTGTTTCCCTACTACTGATTAAAACCAACGTTATTATGGAGCGGCGACGTCATTTAAGCAGGGAAGAAATGCTCAGAGCCGTGGGAATGATAGAAGCTGGTTCCCGGCAACGTACTGTGGCTTTAGCTCTGAATACAAGTCAGAGTGTTATCAGTCGACTTTGGACACGATACCGAAGCACTGGTACCGTGGCTGAGCGCCATGGAGGACGGTATCGCTGCACCACACGGAGACAAGACCGATACATTCAAATCTTAACTCGAAGAGCTCCAACAATAACCGCCATGATGTTAGCCGTGAGGCTTCATCACTCTTCAGGGAACTTAATTAGCGACCAAACAGTCAGAAACCGCTTGCATGAAGTGAACCTTCATTCCCGAAGACCGCTACGGGTACCACCTATAGCAATGCACAATCGTAGGATTCGATATCAATGGGCTCTTGAACACAGAAATTGGGCAGAAGAACAATGGCGTTTCGTGTGCTTTTCTGATGAGTCTCGTTTTGGTATGAGACCGGATACAAGACGTATACGACACTGGAGAACCCCTGGACGCCAACAGCGATTAAAATCCTGCCAGGAAGTCCATCCTTATAGTGGTGGAACCATCATGGTATGGGCGGGTATTTGGATCGGCGGAAGAACTGAGTTGATTTGGATCAGAGGCAACCTCAACGCTCAAATTTATGCTGAGACGATTGTATCAGACGTCATCGTTCCTCTACAAGTGCAAATCGGTCCCTTATTTCAGTTAATGCATGATAATGCACGACCGCACACCGCAAGAGTTGTAAGACAGACTCTCGCCGCAGATAACATCAATGTCCTGCCCTGGCCTGCTCAGTCGCCAGACTTGAACCCGATTGAGCATGCATGGGATATGCTACAGAGAAGAGCTCTGCCGAATATGGAGGGTATCCAGTCGCAAGAAGACCTTTTTTTGTTGTTGCAACGAACATGGGCGGCCATTCCACAGCGTGATTTGGATGAACTCATTTTGAGTATGCCAAACCGATGTTCTTGTGTTGTTAGTGTTCGCGGTAGAAATACGGATTATTAATTGTTTAAGTTACCCAATAAAATTTTAGAGAAAACTGTTATTTCAGTCTTTTTTTCGAACTTTTGTGTTAGTGGTTCAAATGTCAAAAATCCCTTTATTAGGAAAATGGCAAATTTCTTTATTAATGCAAAGGTGACTTGGTTTATCGTTACTGTGACAAACGAAAACACTTTATTTGATGAATCCTTAAAGAAAATTTTAATTAATATCAATCAGGAGAAAAGTTATTGCAAAAATATATGTTGATCCCTAGACACTTTTGATGTGTGTATTTACAAATTTTAAATGCCAAAAACAGATCGGTTAATTTGTATAGATTAGAAAGGTTGATTTGAACAACTGATTTGTACCTATTAGGTACTTACTTATCCACTATTGTTAAAAGCTTCCTCTTTTCTCGCTCCGTATAGTTTTTTCGTGACATATTATGTAAAAACTTTACAAATGAAAATAAATTTCAATGTTTTCGGTACACACAATCGCTTCTATTTTTCTGACTTCTAAATAAAAGTCACTTATAAGTTGTCAAAAGATAGAGACAAAGCTATGCGTTAGACAGAAACAAAACATGAATGATCGAATGAAAGTGACTGGTTTTAGCTAGGGTGGCCAGACTAATAAATAAATCCTGCCTTAACAGTAGATTCGTTAATTTTTCGGTAAATATCTTTTCAGAAACCCACAGTTGCTCAACAAATAGTTAATTATGACAGTCTGTCAACTAATTCAATATTTGACATGCGTTTCAGAAACCGGATGTGAGGTTTTCAAACTTGTAGGAGAATCAAATTATTCCAAAAGCAAACGAAACCGCGGACCAAAATCTTGTTTTTAAAAAGTAAAATTTAATTATTGGAAAAATATAATTGGGGAAACGAAACGTGTAATATGCTATTACCACTAATTGAACTAAATTTCATATAGGAGCGGCTCTATTTATTTGTTCCCCGGTGTATTTAGACCCGCAATATGTCACACACACCATACCATCGATGCGAGATGATGCGTAAACAAGAAGTCTTGACATACTAATGGCTCGTAAATAATATTCCTTCATTATAACTAAGCTTAGAACAATCGCGATCACATTCATACAGCTGTAAAAAACCGAAACATAATGGGACTATTTATTTGCATCTTTGTCATATAGATAGAGATACACATGTAAACTTATGATAGGGGAGCCTAAGCGGGGATTTTTGGATTTACTCGAGAGTGGCAGAATAACATAAGGGGGCAAACATTGCACCTTGAAGTACTCCCACCATACTTGAGCCCTCTATGTAGGGCCAAACGTCTTGGGCAGCAAAAAATCAATTTCAACAAACGGCCTTGACTTTTGGTCGCTGCCAATATCTTCAGTATTTTGAATAGAAGGTACTGGAGGGTTCACGTAACATCTCTTCTCAATGTCTGGACGCACCTTTAAGGGTGAAATAGGCGAAAAATTAAAGTTTGTATGAGAAATCAATTTTACGCAGACGAATTAGCGAAATAAGTAATTAATACTTATTTCGATATGTGGGTTTTATGATTATCTTTAAAACTCATTATCAAACCCCGCATGGGACATAATGACGTCAAGAAGCAAGCTTATGCGCGCAAATTTATCCAAATACAAAACTGATGCCGTTGTTACTTGGCCGTAACGAATAGATAAGATGCCAACAATAAATTTTCGGAAAAACACGTGTCATACGAATTTCTACTACTGACGTCAAAGTTAACAATGGTAACTGACCTTATCACACGTCATTTTATAATTTGATCGATAAATACAGGACAAGATCTTGATAAAGCGTTCGCGTTGTTAAACCGTAAAATGTGAATGGTACCATCTAAACCCTATTGTCTGAACGATAAGGTTAGTATTGAGTTGCATTGACCGATTAGCGCGCGATAAAGTCTCACGTGTATATAAATTTATGGCCTGCGCAGACGAGGGACTTTTTTCCGCCAAAATAGACTGCTTACAAGTTACAACTGCATCCGGTAACACACACGAGGGATTAAAAGTATCGCGTACAAAACGTTACCCATACAAACGAGGACGTCGAGACCGGACTGAAATGTACGCGACTGTCTCCGCGAAATAAATCTTATATATAAAATTCTCGTGTCACAATGTTAGTAACCATACTCCTCCGAAACGCACTGACCGATTTTTATGAAATTTTATATGCATATTCCGTGGGTCTGAGAATCGGCTACTATCTATTCTTCATATCCTTAAGTAATAATGGTTGTCCACCTGTAACGTAGTGTTCTGAAACCTACAATGCACCTTGGCGCCAAAATTCAAACTATTGGGTATTGTAACGTAGTGCTCTCATATGTATTAGGAGGAATGATATCCCAGGAAATTGATAGAACACTACGTTATACATCCCTAAAAATTTTTTTTGACACTATTTATTTTTTATAATGTGGTATTAAAAAATACATACAACCCTAAATTTTCTCTTCTACCACCTGCCCCTATTTTTATTGCGGTACGAAGTTCGCTGGGTCAGCTAGTAATATATAATAATAAATCCAAGTGACTAGGCGCAGCGACGGACACAGCGAAATTTGGTTCGCGTTGCGCGCTCGATCTGATTTAAAGAGATGGGTCTATCTCTTATTTAGTATACTTTAAAAACGTCTTCTATTTGTCTTAAACTTCTTATTAATCCATGGTGTCGCCGACTCGAGAGGGCCCCCCGGGTTCGAGTCCCGGTGGTGGCAGATGTTTGTGTGATGAATACGAGCATTTTTACTCCAGTCATGAATGTATAATATGTATTTCTATATAAATATACTTGTATATGTATCAGTATATGCATTCTACCCGTTGCCCATGTATCCCCATAACACAAGCCTTTGTGATGCTTACTTTGGGGCTAGGCTAATTTAGTGTCAGTGTTTGAAATATTTCTTTAATTACAAAACAGATCTGAGAATATTTACTCACATGGTGCGCTTTTCTAAATTTTCGCAACAAAGTCCTCACATCGTGTGCTGTGACAAGACCTCCGCGAATTTTTTTTCCACCATTCAGGGACTTTTGTCCACCGCCGCCGATAAAAATCCTTCGTCTGCGCATGGCTTTTATATAACTACAACGTTACCGTTTGCAGAGACTAAGTCGTTTAATATTAGCAAGCTAACCAGCGTAATTTGGAGACAAGAATTCAAGTGTGCGTCATAAACTCGTCATAGCGCCAATATACCCGCTGTCATATCATAAATAACCTCACGTGAATACAGTTATAGGTAGCAGTGAAGGCTTATTATTTGACTAATCAAGAGGTGTTTCTTCAACTTAATTGAGTTTGTTCATTTATTACATACATTCAGTAATAAAACTGGATACTTTCGGAAACAAAGGTCGTAACCACCATTTCCGTGAAAATGACATTTCAATTAATTTTTCGCTGTCTATCTATATATATAAAACTCTTTGGTGACTGACTGACATAGTGATCTATCAACGCACAGCCCAAACCACTGGACGGTTTGGGCTGAAAGGCATGCAGGTAGATAAAACTAGTTTTTCACGGGTTAATGCACGAAACTTTATTTATTTATTGACGTTTCGACGATTTATGTTTGCATTAACCCATGAAAAACTAGTTTTATTTAATGAGTGATGTGCGTGAAAACCTAAGAAACAAATATGCAGGTAGATGTTATGACGTAGGCATCCGCTAAGAAAGGATTTTGATCAATTCTACCCCCAAGGGGATAAAATAGGGAATGAAAGTTTGTATAAAACTTTGTCAATTTAAACCGATCTACACCGAAGCAAAGCGAGGGCGGGCCACTAGTTGATCCATATAGGTTATTTTTCGCTGCTATAAAAAGTAACTTTTACGACCTATGTTTTTTAAGTAATGAATTGTTCTATTAGTATTTACTGGTTGCCAAAAATTCGGGTTATTGAGTTGCGAACTTTAATTGAGGAAAGCATAGAACTGTACAAGGTGCGGTGTCATCCATAAAGTACTTTACACTAATTTCGCGGTTTTTTTATCCCTCCTTCCTGTTCATACACATTTCATACGTTCGTCATATTTCTGAGTCCCAGTGTGACGTCACATATTTTGCATCTAGAAATAATTAAATGAAAACCAACAATTAGATTTCGAAATGTGACGCCACTTATTTCCTATTCCACCACTTATCACACAATGTCACACTTTGTCGACCTCAGTACATTCAGTATGTAGTAGTTTACTGACCAGAGGTGACGAGCTGCTGCAGCCGCGAGGGCAAGTCCGACGTGGTGACTTCGGCAACTCGCGGGTTCAGTATGTCGGGCATCGCATTCCGGCGCCCCGTGCGACCCATCTCGAGGAATTCCTTTGATACCTCTTCGCTATTCCTGCTCTGTAGTAGTATACTGATCAGAGGTACGAGCTGCTGCAGCCGCGAGGGCAAGTCCGACGTGGTGACTTCGGCACCTTGCAGGTTCCGTAAGTCGGGCATCGCATTCCGGCGCCCCGTGCGACCCGTCTCGAGGAATTCCTTTGATACCTGCTCGCTATTCCTGACCGTAGTAGCATACTGACCAGAGGTGATGAGCTGCTACAGCCGCGAGGGCAAGTCCGACATGGTGACTTCGGCACCTTGCGGGTGCAGTATGTCGGGCATCGCATTCCGGCGCCCCGTCTAGAGGAATTCCACTAGTAGTAGTATACTGACCAGAGGTGACGAGCTGTTGCAGCCGCGAGGGCAAGTCCGACGTGGTGACCTCGGCACCTTGCGGGTGCAGTATGTCGGGCATCGCGTTCCGGCGCCCCGTGCGATCCGTCTAGAGGAATTCCACTAGTAGTAGTATACTGACCAGAGGTGACGAGCTGCTGCAGCCGCGAGGGCAAGTCCGACGTGGTGACCTCGGCACCTTGCGGGTGCAGTATGTCGGGCATCGCGTTCCGGCGCCCCGTGCGATCCGTCTAGAGGAATTCCACTAGTAGTAGTATACTGACCAGAGGTGACGAGCTGCTGCAGCCGCGAGGGCAAGTCCGACGTGGTGACCTCGGCACCTTGCGGGTGCAGTATGTCGGGCATCGCGTTCCGGCGCCCCGTGCGACCCGTCTCGAGGAATTCCTTTGGTACCTCCTCGCTATTCCTGTCCTGCATAATGGCCATCATTCTCAGCACTGGAACATAGGCGGAATAATGCCTTAAATTAAAGTCACATCAATAATAATATGTTAGTTCCAAACTAAATAGAGCTTGCTCTACATCAAAATAATGTAAACAAACATGACTCGGCAACAAATAGGTAGTCAAACGCAACAACTTTGGAGCAGAAAATAATATTAGCTTAAATAAAAAATTAAAAGGTGTCACTATTCTATTCTACCACGTTTCCGTTAATTTATCGCATAATATAAGTGAAAAAGACATATAATCATATAGTATTGATTTTAATCACCTACTAAAATGCTGTTTGCATGTTCGGAAACAATGTGCGCAGCTAATTAATTTTTACGTAGAAAGTTACATGTATGGCCTGTTCAGGTTATAACGTACAAACAGCCGTATCTATATCATGATTCAATAAAAAATTCAATATAAGTTTCTATACATTTACTATGGCTATGCTTTTTGATGAACACCTAAAAATATAAATAAAGCTCGAAAGAGCATCTACTAAAATTTAACTAAATAGCGAATTTTACTAATGTTCATGATAAGCAAATAATTTAAACTTGTTCTAAGCTGTAATAGAACAATAAAGCCTTGACATGCGGTCTACTATTATTCTAGATGAATCTATTCCTATGTTTCCCCATATAAACTTGATGTTACATGCACAATATTATTTTTCCAATGGAACTTATGAAAAATAAGTACTATTTGGAGAAGATATGAGTTATCTTCGTAAACAGACTCTATAAGGTATCCTTAATATCTTAGATCAACTTTCGTACTTGAACCTTTTTTACTAAAGTTTTCTATGAATATAATATATTTATGTAAATAATTTCGTGGTCTCTGAATGTCGGCCTCATAACAAAACTCAAGAGTCGTGCAGCGTGCTATGGAGAGGGCTATGTTCGGTGTTTCCCTACGTGATAAGATCCGAAATACGGAGATCCGTAGAAGGACCGGTGAGTACGACATAGCCCGAAGAGTTAGCACGCTGAAGTGGCAATGGGCAGCTAGAAAGGTCCTCGAGTAGCGACCACGTACCGGACGACGCAGCGTGGGGCGGCCCCCAACAAGGTGGACTGACGACATCGTCAAATGTGTTGGGAGCCGCTGGATGCGGATAGCGCAGGACCGCGCATTGTGGCGTTCTATGGGGTAGGTCTATGTCCAGCAGTGGACGGAGAAAGGCTGATGGATGGATGGATGGATATAAATAATTTAATTGTATTTAAATGGTTCGTGACACATATATTGTTAAGTTTCGTACTTATTATCCCTTGTATTTAGTACATCATTGCATCGGCTTGTCAATAATGCAACTCGTCAGTTTTTTAAGTTATTTATTTACCTATACCTATGTACGAAATAAAATTATTGTAGGGTATTGTCAGATGGGTTTTATGAGGCGTCGGTCGGCGCGGCGCACATACGGGTATATAGCTGATTTAGCCGGTCAAAAATCAAATTACAAGACGTTTTCGATAAACGCGAATGACTAGAGAACAATAGAAAACCCTTCCCAGTCTCTTAAAACGGATGCATGATGCATCCGCGCACATGTTTTACCCGAAAGTTAGTTATCGCTTTAAGTGCACGTATCTTACGCGTTTCGTAAATGTGATAGCATCTGATAAAAAGTAAATATTTCCGTTATTACTTATACATCTTTCAAAATATTGTTGTGGAAATAAAAATCAAGGAGGTAAAAACACATATTTTTGAAATACAAAGTTGTATTTTTTGCTCACCAGATATTGTTATTTGACGTTTGAAAATATAGTTTAAAATTTTTTGTTTTATTTTTCGTTTCTTCCCAGTTATTATATGAATTGATAAAGACAGATTATAGTTTTTATTGAATTATTTTGACCTAATTAACTGTCCATACCTGCCCCCTTTTTGCCAAGAAGTGACATATCAAGACAGTGAAAACTCAGATTCTGATTCAGGAGGAGGCGTATGGGGACTCTGAAAGTGACGAGGATGATGAAGAAAAAGTTACATAAGTTTTATAAAAAAAATCCAACAAATAATAAATATCTAAGTTATAATTTACAACAATATTGTTTTAATATTTTATCCCAATATTTTGTTACAATTCATAAAAATAAATGATAATGACTTATAGTTGACCAGAGAAACATGCAGGAATAAAACAGTAATTAAATAATTTTGACCAGCTAGATCAGCAAAATACCTATAAGTGCGGCATGTGAATTATCTTAAAATTGGTGCGCCACATGGAGTCTTGGTGTTAACTAACCCTTCTTAAATCATATTGGTGTTTTTACACATGGTAAAAATTAGAACCAAAAAAAATATTTATGCAAACTGTATATTCAGATAGCAAACAGTTAAGACAGCACTATATAGACAACACTCACTGATACATATTATACTATGATAAAAATGGTTGGAGTGTACTGATAACGATCATTGTTGAAGTTGACCGTACATTCACCTATAAACTGATAAAAATGGGGATTTGGTGCAATAAAAATATAATAATCAGCATTATCTATGAGGTTAAGTAATATAATTAAGAAGATAAGATAAAAATAGCACAATGGAGTACACATATTGGTGACAGACAGGTATATCTATGGCTTAATCAATAATACTCTGGCACTAATAACTGCAATACTATAGTTAAGTTTCAATCAAAAGTTTTAAATCAATGATCAATATGACCGCTATACAAACTTATAAAAACAAAGGAGGTTCTTGATTTAACAGTTACTTAGTTCTATAAACAACATCAACATCTTTTATTGCCACTGTGCCATGTTATCTAAACTACAATATAAAGAAAATCTAAAATGCTTCTAAGCATGTAAATCATAAATATTTAATATGGAAAACTAGTAACCAGAGTGTAATGCTAAGTAAGTACCCATTGTAATTGCTACCACAGTTGCCATTATAATGCTAATGAAGGCACTTAATGGCATTGATGTGTCTGCTCATTTTCTCCATACTAATTACTGCTTTGTAGGAATATAGCTGTACATACAGACAACAACCAGGTCAAGTTATCCAAATGTCAGTCAATTTTGACTTTGAGCTTTATCAGACTTCATATAAGATTCATTATCAACGGAGAAATTTTATACTTTGTGGTAACTTGATGTTTTGCTGATTGCACACTGTGTGGTAAACATACAAAAAGAGAATAGTGATGAGATAAATTCTTCAAACTCAGTACACCCATGCAACTTTAAACCAAAATATTTTCATGCAAATTTATAAGTAACATAGCATTACATTCAAACAAAAACTATGTGGTATCCAAACAAAATTTATTTATTAAAGAAGATTGGCAATAATTAGTCTTTCATCTAGTTCAATCAATGACAGTCTTCAAAAGTGGAAAATAATTATTGATTTTGTCATTCATAAGCATAGGAATTTGGTGATTTCCCTGACACCTAATAATAAACTTAAATGAAACCATACAAAGGAATAATGGCTAAGTACCATATCATCCCAAGATAATCTTCGGCTGAGTTGTGGACACCAAGACCCTTGACTCAAGTAGCAGTCACACAATGCATCATGCACCTTACTGCCCTGGATCAATTCAAGACAATGTTAGTAATCTTCTGCTTATCAAAGAAGAGTAGGATGATACCATATTATCAGTTAGTTTTTAACCTGAAATGTAAATAAACTCTAAAACAAAATATGCATTTATATCAACAATATTTCAATAAATCAACGCGAAATCTTCTTTCACACAGTTATAGTGCAGAGAAATGAGATATTACTGGTATAAACACTTGCTCAATTTTAGAGAAATGTTAGATTTTTAGTTGATAATGTATAACTTCAGAGTTTCAAAAGAAGCTGAGCTATAATCAAATGAAAGTCTGAATGAAGCAAAAATGAAACCCTCGTAGTTTACGACAGCGACAAGCGAAGCATCAGCATGCGGGCCTTCGAATACCTGATCGGCTCTTCGCATGGTGACTTCTTCTGGGTTTACCAACGCGCCCTGCTCGTATCGCAGACATTATGAAATTCTAAAGATCTAAGACCTTAAACTTCACTTTGGAAATAATAACTTCAAATGAGAATTTTATTGATTCGAGAATTATAACCGTACTCACAGTCACATAACAGTTCGTACGACGTCAGAGTCACAAATTCTTCACAGACCTACCTAATCAGATCGAAGAGAAATAAATTTATTTTATTTAGACACGACACCAATTATAAATTTATGTTATATTACATTAAACAATGTTAATTAGAATTTTACGCTCACATCATAAATGTACACAAAAGATCTCGATCGTCGCGACGACGAACTGAACGACAGAGATGACATGACATGTCATTGAAATGGAGGACTGACTGATGACAGTTAATAGTGTTGCAGATTGGGCTATCGGCAATAAATACTGGTGTCGACTCTGGCGTGATTCTCTAAACTTAAAACTAAATTTAACATCAATCTCTCCTTTTCATTCCGTATAGAGTATGACAAGGAAACACTGTTGTCAAATTTAAGTTTAGGTTTAGAGAATCGTGTCAGTATTGACACAACTGTCAATAGTATCATTTGTTTGTAAAATAGTCTCAATAACAAATTGTATCAGTTGTATCAATATCATAATTTAAAATCCGGTACCTTACTTGAAATTAATATAGGCGCCGATTCTGGCATGATTCTCTAAACTTGAAACTAAATTTAAAATTAGTCTCTCCTTTTCATTCTTCATAGAAAATGACAAGGATGCACTGATGTCTAATTTAAGTTTAGGTTAAGAGAGACATGCCAGAATCGACATCATTGTTTGACTATTTAACAATTTTTGCCATAACTCATTGCCTCCACTTGAACATCTGTAATAAAAGGAGCTTAACATTACAGTCCCGGTTTTGTTGATGCCGATTTTATCAATACAACTGATAGGCATATCGATATTGTGAATATTTTTGCAGGTCAACTAGGTAGTAGGAAACAAAACGAAACGATACCACACCGAAACCAAGTCAGTCAAAAAGTGGTTCACGGTAAAGTATCTGTACCTGATCCGATACAGAAACCAAAACAAAACGAGCCCGCACTGACCCAGTGAGTAAGGCACTTAGTACTATTACACTACCGAATTTTAATGGCTATATCCACGGGCTATATCGAAAGGGTGGGCGTGACCCCTAGCTAGGGTAGCAATTATTACACCGCCCTATTAATCGGACCCTAACTCAGTCTAAAAGTAAAAGTCGTCGCGGTTGAACGTCGTCGTTAAGGCACCGGATGCATTCTGATATTATTATTATAAACTTCCCTAAAAAATTATATAAATTAAATCCTTCGGTACTTTTCTGTTTATTTAAAGGGAAATTTTGTAAATGATCATCTTTTTTTTTATTCTCACATAAATAATACAATAGGTGACCTAAAGGTTAGATTAGGTAACTAATTGTATTTTTTGAGGATCAATTACTATTTTTCGCTGATTATTGAAATGTGTAACTAATTTAAATAGTTTTTTGGGGATGTTTAACCGCTGCTCCCCACTAGCGGAACGGAGTAAATAAACGACGATACGTCAACTTATCAGCACTATATTTGGAAAATATTTACAATTATAAAATACAATTTTTACGGACGAAATTTTCTTCTCTCAAGTCTATTTTTAGAATGACAATTAAAATTTTAACAGAAAATATCAAAAAGAACATAATTATAAAACTTAATTTCTAATGTGCCAGTGCCTACGGAATGTCCATAGACACTGACTGTATGGCGACATGAACCAACTTTTAAGCGGTGCAAAGTCGTCACAGTTTTAAATTTCTTTTTGCCACAAATATTATAGATCTCAATTAAAATTAAGTAAGATCATTAGATGGCATCGCGCCAATAAACTTTTGGGGATGTTTAACCGCTGCTCCCCACTAGCAGAATCGAATAATAAAACGGCGATACGTCAACTTAACTGCACTATTTTTGGAAAATATTCACTATTATAAAAATACAATTCGTATGGACGAAATTTTATCTTTTTTTTTTTTTTTTTTTTTTTTTTTTTTGTATGGCTTCGCACGGTTTGTGCATTTTAGCCAATTTTGTAATTATTATAAAGGTTAGGAAACGTAAGGAAAAGAAAAGGAGGGTTTTCGGGATTTTGAATATTAGGATCAGGAGGGTATACATATGTTAGTACAAGACTAAATTAAAAAAAATATATATATAAAAAGAATTAATTATTAACATATTTACAAAATAACACAATAAAGATATACACAAATTATATTTATATTTTAATATTATTATGGATGATGAAATTGGTGAGGCAATTATATACAGATGGTTTATTAGTGGACAATAAGGTAGGCACAGAAGTAGGGAAAGGAATATGAAGGGACACAAGATCATTGAAAAAGAAGGAGCGGTCATATTTTAAACAAACAAAGAATATGTGGTTGAGATCACCAACCATACCCATGCCGCAGTCGCATATATTGTTGTTAATAATGCCAATTCTAGTGAGATGATCAAGAGTGCAGACATGTCCAAGACGCATGCGAATTACAATCGAGATTTCTTTCTTACCATACTTGGATTTACGGAACCATGGTTTAATAGGAATGTGTGGTTGAATTGATGCAAAGAATTTACCTTTTTCTCGCGAACTTCGTTCCCAAATATTACACCAGGCACTATAAAGATCATCTTTAGGAAGAGATAAAAGGTCATTGCTATAGTTTTTGTAAGGATGCATGTCCCCACAATACACTGCCTCATTTGCTAACTTATCAGATAGCTCATTTCCAGTAATGCCACAGTGACTTGGAATCCACATGAACTGAACAGAGAAGTTATAAGTTTGACACTTGTAAAGTAGTTTTCTTATTTCATAAATAAATGGAAAATGAAATTTCATTCTGAGGGGGAATTTGCTTAGTGTTTGGAGAGAACTCATAGAATCTGTGAATATGATAGTATTTTTAAGTTTCATAGTAATTATGTATTCCAAGGCCTTCAAAAGACCATAACATTCGCCTGTAAACACCGAAGATTCAGGGGGTAATTTGATTTTTTGAACAATGTTATATTGGGCATGATACACACCTATACCTACATTACCAGATGGATTATGTTTTGAGGCATCCGTGTAAATATGATGATGGTTATTATATTCAGTATCAATAAGGTATTTGAAATTAAATTTTGTATTGGAATCTTTGTTAATAGAATTTAAAATAATATCTGGACATGAAATCAAGGACTCGTAATTAGCTTCAAAGGGAGGAAGTAAATTAGAACGATGTATAGGGGATTGGAGGTTCAAATATTTTTTGTAGCTAATTATTAAGCATGGAGAACATTTATTAACCCAATAATTGGAATATTCCATTTTTTCTGTCAGAGATTGCAACCCAAAAAAAATTGGGTGATGAGCTAACTGGATGGAACGAAAGAGATACCTATCAGATAAATATTGGCGTCTAAGATGTAATGGCGATTCGCAGCACTCTACCTGTAAAGCATTGATTGGACTTGACTTCATGGCTCCTGTAACCAATCTTAGAGCTTTTGATTGTATACGGTCAAGCTTTTTTAAAGCGCTACTACTCCCAGGTTCTAATAAAAAAGTACCATAGTCTAATATACTACGTATCAAGGAATTATAAAGTAATTTGAGAGTAAAGGGATGAGCGCCCCACCAGACACCAGCTAAACACCTAAGAATATTTAAAAGACGTTCACATTTATTAACCAAATGTTCACAATGCTGTGCGCCGGTAATTTTGGAGTCTAAAATAATTCCCAGGTATTTAAAGCTGTCTTGAACAGGAATACTATCAACATCATACATGATTTGTATTGGGGGAACCTTACGTTTTCTAGAAAATATCACCACACTACTTTTAGACACTGAAAGGCTTAAGCCATTCTGATCAAGCCATTTCTTTAGACAAGACAAAGCAGATGATACATTGGAGGAAGCTCTTTCTATAGAGCTATCATTAGAGTAGATAAGAAGATCGTCTGCGTATTGAAGAATTTTAACATTATTTTTAAATACGGTTTCTAAATCATACGTATAAACATTATATAATAGAGGACTTAGGACAGAACCTTGTGGTAAACCTTTCCAGACAGTTCTGGTCATGTCATTGTCAAAATCAAATATTAATTTCACAGTTCGCTCATTAAGTAAATTAATAATTAAGTTAGAAAATCGGAGGGGAACATCAAGAGCTTCCAATTTAGATTTTAATATCGATAAAATTACATTATCGTACGCGGACTTTATATCAAGGAAAGCAGCGACTACTGATTTATTGGACGTAAAAGCTAATCGAACGTCTATGGTGAATATACTAATATTATCAATAGTACTTTTGCTTTTACGGAACCCATATTGACTGTAAGAAAGAGCCTGTTTATTTTCTAAAAACCATTCCAAACGGGTTTTTATTAAATGTTCAGCCAATTTGACTAAAACAGTAGATAACGCTATAGGACGATAGTTATCAGCAACATTTGGTGATTTATTAGGTTTCAATACTGGCAATACTCTCTGAGATTTCCATGGTAACGGGACGTTTCCAGTTATCATGAAACTATTTACGATATCTAAATAACCTAAAAGTACTGTATCACTAAGATTTGAAAAGAAACTATATGGAATTCCATCATCACCTGGGCAGGAGTCTCTAACGCTGTTGATAATACCTTTAAGTTCATATAAAGTAAATGGACGTTCTAAGTAATGTGTGGATAACGTTAACGAGGAGGCTTGTAGGGTTAAATTATTTTCCGGGACCCATGGCGGTGCTAATTTATCAAGAAAGTCGTTCGCAAGAGTAGGAGGAAGAGTAGAAAAAGAAGTTTTGTTAAAGGCAGATCTAAAACGTTTAATATTATTCCAGACTATTGAAGTGTGGACATTAGGAGAAATAGAAGTACAGAAACGCTTCCAGCCTTCAAATTTCTTATTTTTGAATAACTTTTTTGTTTCTGATTTTAGTTTACATAGTATTTCATAGTTAGTATATGTCATATTTTTACAATAGAGTCTTTCTGCATTTTTCCTTTTTTTAATTGCTTGGGTGCATTCGCTGTCCCACCAAGGTGGAGATGGAATTCTGATTAAAGTATTTGCCTTGGAAGGAAAAGTTTCAGAGGCAGCTTCTGTTAAAATGTCAGTCAGAATTTGTGCACAAGCAATATCATTACTACTGTTCACACTTGGTAGTTGATTAATCTTAGCGTCAACTCTATCCTTGAAAGTTTTCCAAGTAGTGTCGTCTCTAATAGAATATTTATATTTTCTCAAACATAACTTTTGGGAGTGCTTTACTTGATGACTTGGAAATCCAATGATTATTGGATAGTGGTCACTACCATATGTATATGTAAGAGTCTCCCAAGACAAAGAAGAGGCTAAGCTTGGAGAAGAAATAGCTAAATCTACAGTACTTATATTCTGATTTGGATCTGTACATCGTGTTGGGCTACCTGTGTTAAGGAAACATAAATTATGTGTGTCCAGTATGTCCACTAATTCTCTACCAAAAGAGCTACACTGAGAGCTTCCCCAGACAGTATGGTGACAGTTAAAATCTCCTAGAATTAAGATAGGCTTAGGAAGGGAAGAGAGCAAGTTGTTTAGATCACTTAAAATGTAAGATGAAGGTTGTGGTATATACACTGATACTAAACAAATATTATTAAAACTTATAGCTACTATAGAGATGTCATCACAATGTGGAGGAATAGTTATATTTATATATGGAATTGTGTTCTTAATAAGAATAGCTGTTCCTCCACCGTTTCTGTCTAGTCTGTCATCTCTCACTGTACAATATCCATTAATATTAAAAGATTTATCAGGTTTAAGCCAAGTTTCTGACAAAGCAAAGGCAAATGGCTTATATTTATTGGTGAGATATATAAGGTCACTTTTATTACTTATGATACTACGAATGTTCCACTGAATTATATTGCAAAGATCCATTATTGGAATGTTGTATTATATTTTCAAGTAAAGGGGCAACGTTGGACGGTGAAATCAATTGGTATTTAGCTAATAAATTAAATAGAGCAGAAATTAATTCTAATTGTGAGTCATTATCTTGTTGTTTAGATGTTAATAGAGCACATCCATTTGATGGGGCAGGGATTGCAAAATCATTTATAATAGCATTGTGTGCATCTCTATCATAGCCAATATTGTGGTAATTATTTTTTTGGGGTTTTAGAAACACTGTTTTCTTGTATGATGTTGAGGGTGATCTGTTGTGTTGAGTCAGGGGCATTTTATAGTTTTTATTGTAAATAATGGGATTAGAAGAAGGTTTTGATATTAAGGTGTCAGCATATGATTTGGAGACATTAGGATGTACCTTGGCAGCTTCTGCATAAGACACACAATTTTGGGCCATATATGTTTTAATTTGTTTTTGCCTCATAAACTCTGGGCAAGTTTTGTTGGTAGCAAAATGGAAACCAGTACATAAACAACAACTAGCATCCTCCTCTGCAGTGCCACAAGAGTCACCAGAGTGGTCTTTACCACACTTGTAACATCGAGGACTTGATCTGCACTGTGCCCTTGTGTGACCAAAACGACAGCAATGATAGCATTGTATTGTGGGGAATATATATAAATCTACATTTAAAGCATTATAGCATAGAAAAACTCTTTTTGGAAGGACTTGTCCATCAAATGTGATAATGACTGTCTGAGATGGCTTCCATGTGGGATTGCCTTCAACAAAAGTTTTGAAGTTCATTCTTCGGACTTTTATTATATTACCACATCCTACAGGCACAGATAAATTAGCCATGACCTCTTCAGGAGACCACTCAGCAGGAACACCTCTTACCAATCCCATTCGTGTTACATTAAATGTAGGTATAAATGCTTTAAATTTGTTCTCCTCAAGTGACTTGTTATTTAGAAAGAAATTGCAATCTTTATAATTAGTAAAACCAATAGCAATTTTATTGCGACCTACTTTCTTGACACTTCCGTTAACAATATTTGGGAATCTATTTTTCTTTAAAAAATTGCCAAACTTCACAGGGTGAATCGTGAATTTATCATTAGGGGATGTTAATATTTTTTGGACGTGAAGAATGAAAGGAGCTACGTCAGTCTCACAGTAATTTTTCCGGCCAATTGGGGTAGATGAAGGTAAACTCTTTTCATTTGTTGTATTAGCAGTTATATTTGTAGTGGGCTTTGAAGACTCTGGCATGGGTAATGGAACTGATGGAGGAGTAAGATCTGATTCAGATGTACATGAACAACCATTTATTTTAGCTTCAGAGTTACCATGTCTCCTTCTTTTTTTGTTGCAGTGTTTACAAATAATATTTGAGCGGCGACTCCGCTTTAATGTCCTATTGGAGGTGGATGCATCAGTATCCATTCCAGATTCCGACTGCACAGTGACAAAATTACCTGCCGGGGGAACGAATCCCCCCGGGTCATCGGGGGGATCGTTCATGACGGTAAAAAATTAGTAAGAGGACTTACCAATGATCCAAATATGTACACAATATATTAAATAATAATTAATATTTACAAAAATATACAAAATGTACCCTTCTGATCGAAAAATTAATATATAAAGTTTTTCACCATAAAACGCGTCTACCAAGTTAAACGTTTCCCGCGCTTTTTCCAAATTTTATCTTCTGAAGTCTATTTTTAGAATGACAATTAAAAATCCAAAAGAAAACATCAAAAAGAACTTAATCATAAAAAACTTAATTTCTAATGTGCCAGTGCCTACGGAATGTCCATAGACACTGGCTGTATGGCGACATGGACCAACTTTTATGTGGTGCAAAGTCGCCACAAACTAATTCTACTACAAAAATGTCCGTACTATACGCTCTTGAGCGTCGACTGAGCTGAGCTCCCTTACTGCCTAACAGCTATTTCACTACCCGATTGTCAGGGCATAAGGGAGTTAGGGAGATCGGGTCTCGCCCATCACCTTAAACTTGGGTCCCTAAAACGGGCTTCACACTACCTAATTTGAAGTGCCCGATCGAAAGGGTGGGCGTGGCCCCTAGCGGGTGGTAGTAATATTATTGTACACTGCACCGATCGCCCTACATCGGGTCCCTTATTCCCATACTCAATTTATACCACCCTTAGTCATGGTAAGGGTCCTTAAAATTGATTAGTCTAATAGGCGCATAATCTGAAATCTTAGAGCTTAAACGGAACTATTGCTTAATAAATGCTGTAAATCTTGAAATAATCTTAGTATTCCGAAAAGTCGGGTAAATAATTTAGATTTATGGCAATAAGCTTATGTAACGTCAGTTTAACACGATGAAAATCTGTGATTATTCATTAACTCACAGCTGATCTTCTGTTTTCTTGTGAACGAAATCATTTTTTATATGTTAATAAACCGATAAACATCTCTTTAGAGGTGAATGTAAGAATCTAATATCTACACAGCGTCATAGTGAATGGATCAATAGACTTGGTCTATTAATTTATTACCTATTTTGCAGATGATTCGAAACGTAGTTTTAGGGTCTGGTGGTTTAGTTGCTTTGGTTCCCATCATTAAAGCGGCTAGTCCTGTACAAGATGATCCAGCCGGGCCACTTAAACCACCCCCAATGAGATATACAGACCTCCCTATTTATGACGCACCTCATGCGGAATATGGAGAGTGAGTACAAAAGTGTATTGTTAGGTATATGTAATAATCTGTTAATTATAGTATCCCATAACACAAGGCTTAAGTGCTTACTTTGGGGCTAGGCTAATTGGTGTAAGTGTTAGAAAATACCTTAATAGCGAAATTATCATCTGTAAATTTTGGTTCTCTTCTAGATACGTACAATCAAAATCAAAGGCTGCCAAGAACAGCTACATTAAGTCAGTACTACATCCACCGGTAAAGGCAGTTCGTGAGCAGGTGCAATATGTTTGGGACCAGACTGAAAGTGTTAAACATACTGTACAGGACAACTACAATGAATTCCGGGACCGGTCAGACTGTTAGTTTCAAAGTGAATATCATCTACATTTATTTCATACTTAATTCCATAAGTCATTAATTATTCTTATAGGCATAATACATAGTCAATATTACTTCAATAAATTTGTGTTCGACTCATGTCATTGTCATATAAGCTGTATGATGCCCACTATTGAGCATTTTTTTACTCATTTCATTTTTACTTAATAATGTTTATCTTTAGTTTTTTTTCATTTCTATTCAAATTATCTTTAGATGTTAATCTTTATTATAATTTTTTATATGACTACTTTTGAGCTTATTTCTAAAGCATGATAAAAAGTAGTAGTTTTTTACTATACTTATACCTATTTTTTATTAATGTTTCAGGGATTGTACAGTATTTACGAGAAGAAGCAAATAAAGAGGCTCGTTATGGTGCTGTAGCTATGGGTGGATTAGCTGGATTCATATTTGGCCTCAGAGGGGGAGTTTTCAGGGTATATTAATGCAAATTATTTCATTAATAAATCTATTTTTGTTTTTGATATAATCATTGGGAAGATAGAATTTGGTTCATCCAAAAATTTTAAATGTGTTTGAATAATAATTTATTTATTTAACTAAATTGTGTTATTTTTTTCATTTTAGAGGGTCTTGTATGCAGGTTTGGGCACCACAGGCATGGGTTTAGTTTGCTTCCCTGAGGAAACCAGAGAATTATTGAAGAGCAATGGAGCTCTTGCCAAACAATATATTAACATAGCCTACAACTTTCTATATGGAGGTAAAGGAACTTAATATTGTAATTTTTAGAACTCTCAAAAACGTTATAGCTATAATTTTAAAATGATTTTCCTCTTTTTATCAGTTAAGCCTGGAGACCCACAGCTAGAGATCAAATTCCCTGAATTATCTTTCCCCAAGGATTTCTCGGAATTTGTTGATTTGACTGTGTCAATGGCTTCTTCTGTCAAGCAGGCTGTCATGCCTCCTCCAACTAAGGAAGCATTAGATTCTAAACCATCAGAGAAAAAGAATTAGGTACAATTTTAGTTTAGGTGGTGGTCTGGTTTTGGCATGATGCTTTGTTTTTATCTTCCTCTTTGTTTGTGACCTTCCTACTATATAGAAGGTCATTGCTGACTTACTGCATCATTTCAGTTCTTTTTGGTGTTTAATAATTATATTTATTATAATAGCTTACCTAATATTACTAAAACCCTTTTTAACATACATATTTATTTTAATATGAATCATATAACTTTTGGCTTATGGATATTTTATTTTGTGCACATTTTTTTATCGCTTTCTGAACACAGATTTCTGTTTTATTGCAAATATCAAAATTTCCAAATTAACAAGCAATACAATCATTCATTTTCCATTACAGTGGACACACTCAAGACACATATGTCGCTCTTATTGCTTGCTCGTAAAGGCGATGCTATAGTTAAAATGTATCCATAAAGATGGCATCGTCTGTAGTAGAGGAACCAGTACTTATGTAACAAAATCTTTTTAATTTTCAGCATACCTATTTAAAGATGAACTAGATGAACAGTCAGTAAAATGTAAGTAAATCTACTTAAGTGAGTTATTGAATAATGATCTTTAAGGTGAACAGACATTAATAAATTTTTTTTTCAGCATCCTCATAAGAAGATGAAGCAGTCGACTATGAAAATCCATTTGAATGAATTTCAATTTATTGTTCACTAAATAAGTTACAGTGTAAATTGACTTTAGCAAGAAATAAAGTGTACATTTTTCAAATATAGCATTTTTTATTTGGAATTATGATACCTATTATTTTTAGAACCTAGTAGTAAAATAATATGGTGCCTACTTTGTGGAAAACTTCGCAAATATTTGTAGAATAAACAAATAAATATTATTACAAAATTATCAAAGGCTTTTTATATTGTAGAAAACTTAGATTTATGTAATTGAAGTTAATAATGACCTTCTCAATCTAGGAAATCCAGCCTATTATTTTAAATGAGAAAGTCTGCTTATTAAGTTTTCACGTCCAAACAACTGTACAGATTTCGATGAAATTTGGCATAGAGAGAAATAATGAAATATTGCAACAACGAAATAAGCTTCATGAAGTGCAGGCACTGGCGGCCTGTTGCCGCCAATAAAATTTTTCTCTGCTTACGCGACGCCATGGCATAATAGCATTAGCACAGACAGTAGTGCTCAAAAAATGTACTAATTCTTGTACACTTTGGGCCGTGTACCGGAGACTTGGGAGGGATGCTAACGTGCAAACAATGCCCATCAAAGGGGACCACTCAGTTTTGTCTAAAGTCCTAGTAAACCTTAACAACCATCTGGCCCGCTACCTAGAGGATCACTTTCTGATTCACATCGCCAAAAGACTTTACCCCGAAACGATCAACGACTGATCTACCGTACTTGACTCATATCTGGGGTGCCGCTATCAACAAGGTTGCGCGAGTCGTTGGCTATCGGCCTTGTTATAGACAGGGTCTGGCACGAAAGCCATTTCTCCAAGCTTTCGGTAAGTCCGACCTGACTTTACCTCACCTGATGTTAAGTTACGTGGAATCGTGGTGGAATCCAGACGCGTAAAGCAGTTATACGTGCCATATCAGCCATTCTCACCTTGCCGGCCTGCATATTGTTTCTACGCGCCTCTTTTAAAGGAACCCTTGTTATAGGAGGAAGGGAACACGTGAGCATGCAAAGCATTCCATTTACGGGTAGTGCAAGGGCGGATCCAGAGGGGGGTCATGACCCCCCCCCCCCCTGGGCTGGGTCCATCTGTACCCACTTAACAATCTGTACCCATTATGACTTGACCACGACTATATGACCCCCCCTCCTGGCGCCAAAGCTGGATCCGCCCTTGGGGTAGTGTGACCAAGAAAAGAGTCACCAAATTTATTTTTTCGCGTTGAAATTGTGACCACAGTGAGTCGGTGCCAACGTAGGCTAGCGCGCGTGGTCCGCTGGAGGAAAGGGTTAATAACTTCAGAACACTCGCCGTGTTATAGACGATAGAAGGCGGCTAATGGCGCCACATCAGGGAGTAATTCACTTCCTCATCGCAATGATACGGATTGCACGCCGCTGTAACCTATTCAAAGCATCGAGTACCTTAGTATTTGGCGAAGCCATTCCAGAGGTGCGAGTAATATTCTACGCAAGATCGCACTTGTACCTTGTACTTACATACAACAATAACAGTTGCTCAGGCGTGGAAAAACGCTGCATTTCGATCAGGACTCCCACAGTTTGCATGAGGCTGTTTTTATCACGCTTTCGATGCAGTTCTTTGGAATGAAGTCACAACGAATTTCCATACCGAGCATATCAGATTACAGAACTTAAGGCAGATGGACCGCACGGTACACAGATTGCGTGCCACCAAAGCAAATATCAAGTCCAAAGTAAAGAGTATTTTGTCTTTGTGAACAGTTTTTGCCTCTTGTTCTGTAATCTGAGCCGAGCATGGTGATATTGCTCTCTGGCGCCATTTTCTTGTGCCCTGAAGAGAAGGAAGGGAAGGGAATGGCGACACTTTTGCCGTGAAAGCGAAGACCTGGGTTTTCTTCTTAGCATTGGACCAAGTTCTTGGTACCACATTCGGAAATGTACTCCATTGATAAAAAAGGCCGCCAGCCAGTGCTACTTGCACATGCGCAATGTATGAGTATGAAGCTTTGTCTCTGGGCTTTCTTTACTCATGTGGTAAGTAGTGTCTACTCTACACCGTTGCATTGTGCTATTGGAGGAGGTGGGGCACCCACCTCCTCCAAGATACATGTATGTAGAACCCTCAGACCAAATAAAAAGTAGTAGAACCGCGTCAGTATTGGCGCATGCCGAATTTTCTTTCAAGATAACTTTCATATAATTATTAGAGTTAACAGATTTTTTTTATCTGTAAAGATTCCTCTGGGTCCTGGTTTCAGACAGGAAAAAATAAAAATACACTTGTTAGAGTTCAGGTGTTAATATTTACTTTATTATAAATATAACTTTGTATCAAGATGGTAATACAGTTATTGTTAAATACATCAGGAGAAGACAAATTAGTATTGATCTACCGAAGATTAAGCAAATATCATTTCCTCTCTTCTCTTCTTTGTAACTACAGTGCCTGGCTTATGCTGAGCTTCAGGATGATTCATTAACTCGGGTGGACATGTTGATACAGAACTAGAAAGTAGAACTTGTTTCAGGTCATAAAATAGAGCAGAGTCTTCTTTTGTAACAAATGACGTGGCTTTACCAGTTTTGCCGGCACGACCTGTACGACCAATACGATGAGTGTAATCTTCAATGCTCTTGGCCATGTCGTAGTTAATGACCATACTGACATCCTTGATGTCAATACCGCGACCAGCGACGTCTGTAGCCACGAGAATATCTTTTGAACCATTTTTAAGACTGGCAAGTGCAAAATCACGCTGTTCCTGTCCTTTTCCACCGTGTAAAGTACAAGCATTGAATCCAAGTTTCTCCAAACCTTTAGCAAGGACATCAGCACCTTTCTTTTGATTAACGAAAATAATAATGGGAGGCTCCACTCCACGTTGCAATATTTCAGTGAGCTTCCTACGCTTTTCATTCTCACCAATCATGTAAACAACTTGTTCAGTTCTGTCAACTGGTTTACCAACTGATCCTATGTAAACAATAGCTGGTCTTCTTAAGTAACTCCTAGCCAAACGTTCAACAGCCGGAGGCATAGTTGCTGTAAACATCACAGTTTGTCTGAACTTCTTTTTAGTATTATAATTTGCTAAAAGCACTGAGGCATCTTCTGCTGCATCTGTGTCTGGCTTGATATTTGATACAGGCATATATTCCAAAATCTTTTGTACATCTGGTTCAAAACCCATGTCTATCATACGATCAGCTTCATCAAGTACTACATATGTACAACGGTTTAATACCAAATAACGGTTTTCTAAAACATCTATAAGACGTCCAGGGGTGGCAATAACAATTTCGCAACCCAATCTCAGCTTGAAACCTTGCTCCTCCCTAGAGAGACCACCAACAACAACAACTGATGTGATGCCTAATGGGATACCAAATTTATTTGTTTCTTCTTCAATTTGTTGAGCCAATTCACGAGTTGGTGCTAATATTATGGCATATGGGCCTTGATCGGCATCTTCCATACGTTCACTTTTCGGTAGTGATTGAATCCAAGTAAGTAATGGGATAAGAAAAGCTAAAGTTTTACCAGAACCAGTTTCAGCTACACCAATAATGTCACGGTTCTGTAAGCCAATTGGAATAGCCTGTCTTTGGATTGGTGTAGGACTTTTATATCCAACTTTAGATATAATCTCCATTATGTCTTGATGGAAACCAGCTTCCTTCCAGTTTCTTATAGGATTTGGAATTCTACCCCCTTTAATTGTTATATTATAATCTTCTCTAAAGATTCTCCAGTCTCTTTCAGTCATCTCATCTTGATCTTTTTCAGACCAATGACGATCATCCCACTTTTGTTTATCTTCCTTCTTTTTAACTTTTTTGAGACGCAATTTTTCTTGTTCTTTTTCAAGTTCGGTTCTTCGCTTTTCCAGTAAATTTCCATAGAATTTGCTATGATCTTTTTTCTGTGCCTTTATGTCAATACCAGCTATATGGCCTCTTCCAAAGAATTGAACCTGGTGTCTCTCCTTGTAAAGTGTATTATAATCATTTGATGTATCTTCTGAAGCATCCCAATCAAACACAAACTTCCTATCATTAAGTCTTCTAACTCTACGTTTCTTCTTCACTATGCCCAAGTACCTGGCTTTAATGGCTTCCTCTTCCCTTTCTTTGTCCTTTGTTTTAGAACCCTCATCATTTTTATCTTTTTTGTCATCACGGCGATCACCAGTTTTCCTGTCATCATATTTCCGTTCTCTGTCTCCTCTGTCTGCTCTTTCTAACCTATCATTTCGTTCCCTTTCATCTCTTCTCTCTCTGTCTTCTTTGTGTCTCTTCTCTCTATCATCATCTTTTTTTGACGTGCCTGTTAAATCAATAGTAGTAACAGCTGGTCTATCAACATTTGCTCTTATTGCTTCCACTTGCTCACGTCTCCTTTCTAATGCCAGGGCTGCTCTTTGTTCCTTCGTTAAGAAAACAGGTTTACTACGAGCTTCCTCTTCAGCTTTTTTTTTAGCTAGCAGTTCTTCCAGAGACAAAGGCTCTCTTTTTATTGGTTTTGGCTCTTCTTTCTTAGGTTCTTGTTCTTCCTCTTCTTGTCTGTTATCATCGTCTCTTCTACTTTTACTTTTTTCCTTATCATCAGTGCGCCTGTCTTTATCTTTACCATCACGTCTTTTAGGGCTTCTAGAACGACCCCGCTCCTTTCGAGGACTTCTCGATCTGTCCCGTTCTTTTTTAGTCGGACTGCGAGATCGCTCTCGTTCTTTTCTGGGGCTTCTTGATCTATCTCTGCGTTTGATCTTCTCCCGATGCGATTCGCGTTCGTCGTGTCGATCCCTATCTCGTCTTTCTTTAGAACGGGACCGCCGACGTTCAGGGCTTCTATCCCGGACCATTATTATAGCATATACACTAGCAGCGTTAAAATTGCTTAAAATTTATTCGTAGTTTGTAAGATTTATGATGTAATACAAAAAAAAATAGAAGGAAAACAATGCGCCATACATTGATTGCACCGATTTTGACATTTACTATTTTTTTAAGATTTTCTCATTTCAGGGAAGGCAAAGGGAACGCCCATACAGCCTAGTCATTAGTTTTTTTTCTATTCTTCTCTATTGGGTAAGACAAAGGCAAAGCCATACAGCCATTATCTAGTTTTTGTATAAATCTTCCTTTTTTTTTACATCAGAATGTAGGTGTGATCCATTCTAATCTGTCTTGGAGTGTTTAGCACAAAATGTATCGAATTGACTTTTTCGATAAACTTCTGTGAGGTAGTCAACACTACAATAAAGTTCTCATGTGTAATTGATCGGAATAGCGTATATTTTAAAGATACCACTAATTTTTCAGTTGCGCAGACGATTGTAACCAATTTTATTTCCCCTATGACCGAATTTAAGAATAATTAAAATAAGACGCCAGCCGCACACAATAAAATCCGCTTTGGTTCCAAGGGCATCAGCAAAAAAGAATTACTAACGATAGATGGTAGAGACTTACTTAAGTAATAATTACACTTATAAATTTACAGATTAGGCACATTTAACATAACATCCAGAAGAAAACAACGAAAAGTAGCAAAAGAAAAACTCAAACAACATATATTAACAAAAAAAAATGGGTGCGTGTACTTATGTAGGCGCGTGAGAAGTTATCCTTCTTTGGCATCGTTTAAAATTAGTTTTTAATTGCATGCAAATAATTAATTACAATAAATTAATAAAAAGTCTGGAAAAGGACACAGTCAATAAAGTTCAGTTTTAATTTGAAAAAATAAATAAATAATCATAATATTCAATTAAAATCGCTACTGAATATAATTTATTAGAACATATGTGATTTGCACTTGTATGAAACTCAAACACGTATTCCGAATATACAAACTAGAAACATGTGGATAAATATTATAAATATGAATACCTATAACTGTTACTTTATTAGAAAAAATAAAGATGTGGTTTTTGGTTCTACTACACCAATGGTCAAGAGATGGCGCTGTAGTCTCCTGAATCGCGCTTTGGTTCCGTTCTTCCAGGTTAATAAATACTTTTGATAGGCCTTCACAATGCAGTCGTTAGCACCCACTAAATAGAGATTCTATTTCTATTTTGTTGGTAGATTTTCTTAATGTGCGGTAAACACAAAAGTAACAGCATGAAGTTGGTCGCTAAAGCGACCAACTTCATGCTGTTAATTTTTTGTGTTACAGTGATGCGCGCGCATCTTAAAATTTCACTCTCATCATTTTTTCATAACGCGCCTAAAGAAGTATAACTTCAAAAAAATGACCAAAAGTATTTGCAATAAAAGTACAATTAAGATAATACGTCATAATATTGGTAAGTAAATTTTGGGCAGAGGACGGAATAATATTATAAAAATTTCAGATAATTCTATTATCAGTAATAAATACTGTATTGAAAATGTTGGGCATACAAATAAAATATGGTCAATATCACAAAAAAGCGAATCACAGTGAGGAGTCCTCACTGAGGACAACTGGTATCCTCCCTGAGATTTTTTAGACGATGGAGATGAGAGGGTCAGGACATCGGCTGTGACCAATTCTTAACCGACTCAAAGTGGTCATGAAACTACTACCCAAAAATTTTTATTGCTTAACATAAAGGTTTAAGAATGATGTTAGGATATTTAAACCTTACAACATATGTATTATCATACCAATTGCTCAATTGGTATTTGTATATGCTCTAAAATTTAAAAACTATTCGGAACATTCACATGTCAAAAAGGACATGACGTGAAAATAGTTTAAACGTCAATGAAGTTGTAATGTACATCCGTCTGTTTAAATTTACTAATGATTGGCGAAATTTATGTGTAATTTTGAGAATAAAGGTGGTTCTCACATAACGCAAAAGGAAAGCCTCGATTTCGCAATGAATTAAATTATGTAGGCATAATATTGATCATTGAATAATGGAGGAGGCAATGAAATTAAAACTTTGTATAACCTCAACAATATTGCTACTTAGTTGTGTTGGTTTAACTTATTTTGTTCTAAAGAAAAGAAAGAAGAGAGTTGATGCGATTGACGCCTTTAAATATTTAACTATTAGAACGGTGTCAAATACAGAATTGTGTGATGAAGTAGTACTTGAACTAAAAAGGTAAGGATTTTACTAAAATTAAATTCACCATATAATCATTATATTTTAAAGCTGTGTTAAATCCATGAACAGAAACTTTTGTTTTCTATAAAATAATCATTATAAAATAATATTGTATATTCATTTATTTTAGGAGATGCAGGACATACAAAATGGTTGGTTTTGACTGTGAGTGGGTGACTGATCATGGTAAGAGAAAGCCAGTGGCTCTGATGCAACTATCCACTCACGATGGTTATTGCGCTTTGTTTCGGCTATGCCATTTGAAGGCGGTACCAAACTCTTTGAAAGTATGTAACAGCTGCAGACATTTCTCAAAACATCAATGAATTTGCTTGTCAAATAATTTATTGTTTTTCATCTTTTGCTATCTCAAAGAATGGATTTACTTCTATAAATCTATCTATCTATGCCATAAATAATAGAAGATTCACATAACATGTATTCATGCTTACATACTTGTCTGGTTAACATAGGATTTTTTAGAAGATAAAACAATCTACAAAGTTGGAGTGGTACCCAAAGATGATGCTAAGTATCTGCTTCATGATTATTCTGTTAATCTTCAGTCAACATTAGACATTCGCCACATTGTAACTGCAGCTGGTTATGATCCAGGAGGTTTGGCAGTACTTTCCCAATCTCTACTGGGCATTACTTTGGATAAAAGTTGGAGGGTATGTATATGAGCTGTCTATTTGCCATTATAAATGTTTATGTCACAGTATGATAGTTAAATCTATAATATAGTTATAATAATATAGTTCTATAACGTTTTGCCTGTACACGATCAAGTCAAATCTAATCTGATCTCAGAAAACTAGATTAATGAAAACTTTCCTATTATAAAGCAGCACAGTAAGAAACCCGTAGTGCATCAGGGGGCATTCAATTATTACGTAATGCAATTTGGGGGGAATGGGGGTCTTGGAAAATGTTACGATGCGTTACAGCGGCGGGAGGGCGCTTTGATCAACATATTATATATACTCCATACTCCATACATACTCCCTCAGCATTTACATTCAATATCCCAAGATACAATAATCTTTATGGTAGGCAATTATTACAGTTTCAGATACCCAAGTTAATTAACAAATTACTAATATATGTAGAAAAAGAAATTAGTAAAATTAATATTAAGAATGTACTAAACGGATATTATTGCTCACAGTTATCAAAATAACAATAACAGTATATAAATAGTAAAATTTAATGTTTTTCAACACCATTATATAGTAACAGTCTGATGGGGAACCGCCAACAACTCATAGAAAGAGGGTAGATGCAGATACGAAAAATGATTGTTATTCTTGATGGTAATGTGAATATCAATAAATAAAAAAAAACCCTGAGGCTATAATTATATACCGTAACATAGTTTTATGAAAGCAATTTACTATCTTATGGTCGCAATCCTGTTATAAGTTTATCTGACTAAACTAATCTAGTTAAATAGTTATAAGTTACCATAGAATCAAATAAAACTATAAATTGGTTTTTATTTTTATTGAAAAATCAACTTTTTGTAACCTGCAATTAGTTACAATACTTTCCAGCAATAATATGTATCATAATGTAAGGTTAATAAATAAAAAAAATATAATTCTTCAGGTTGATTGGTAGAGAATGCCTATGGCATTAAATCCGCCGTTTGCATTATGGCAATGAAGCTTAAATAAATAAAATAGATAAATGTAATTATATTGATAAAAAAAAAGATTTTGATCGTATTTAGTATTAAAGCATTAACAAAGATATTGCGAAAAATTATAAATTAAAAATTTTAGTGTTTGTAAAATACTTGAAAGTGATCAACAGTTTTAGACTTTTGTTCTGACAAGAAACAGAATCATGACATCTACACTCTTACAACTATTTCACAAAACTGAATCAAGTAATATAATTATGTCACTAAACTTGAACCATTTTATAATTATATTCCTAGTAAGATAGCAATGATTTGCTTTCATGTAACTATGTTACTGTATATAATTATATTCTCTACCGATATAACTATTGTAAGCTTCAGAAGTGGAAATTCAATTAAAAAAAACAGTTTACAACAAAAAATTTATTCGAATTTGAAAAACCATTTTTACTTCTTAATTACAATTGACGTAATAATTACAATTGTAGGCGAAGTGGTGGGGTAGTTGCTGACGTAAGAGACGATTCTTCTTATGGTAGCCATACACACTACGAGAAATCGTTACGATTAGACTGTACCATCCGTAACTGTAACGGTACCGATAAATCGTAGCGTGTATGTTATAAAACTGCACAGTTTCCTACGATTTTTGTAGACTGTGCAGTCGAACGGAGCAATACGAAAATTTCAATTGATTTATCGGAATCGGATGAACTGTACCGACTAATCGTAACGTGTATGCGCTCGTTCAGTTTTCGTGTTCAGTTTTGTCGTCAGTTGCAGTTCGGGTAGACGTATTCAGATGATGTAAGTATGTATTATGATCCATTCTTAAAAAAAAATGCCAGTCTTTTGCAAACATCGTTAATTCCGACAACAAATTGACATGGGAATGAACTATTCTTTTCATTAGCCATTCTTTGCACCAGCTGCTACGATTTTTTTGCTTCACTTTATTTTCCTTCAGGGCGAATATTAATCCAACAACTGCTAAAACGTCGTCCGTCGAAGCCATCGCTGACACGTGTGCGTCAGCGCCGTTTATTGTACCGTCTGATCGTAACGATTTCTCGTAGTGTGTATGGCTACCGTTACACTATATTACGGATTTATATATCTTACGGTGACATTTATACTAATTAGACAAACTAACCATATCCTTTTCTTCTTACCTCTGACGACCTCTGTGGCCGAGTGATTTTTACGCCGGATTTTAAGGTGTCGTCTACTCGAGAGGTCCTGGGTTCGAATGCCGGTGGGGGCAGTTTGTGTGATGAATACGAGCATTTGTACTCCAGTCATGGATTGTAAATATGTACTTCTATATAAATATAGTTATTTAAGTATCAGTATATGTATTCTATCGGTTACCCTAGTATCCTATAACACAAGCCTACAGTCTTTACTTTGGGGCTAGGCTAATTGGTTTGAGTGTTGGAGATATTTATTATTTTTTTAATAACAATTTTGTTTATATAGACATTAATACAGCATTACCAAATTGGCAAAATATTTTAAAGCCAGGATATACACTCAACGCAATCATCTCTGCAATATAAGCAATTTTAAGTTCCTTATTTAATTTTAAACAAAAAAATATTTGGTTTTCAGGTTCGTTGTAGTGATTGGGAGGCAGAGACATTGTCAGAAAGACAAGTGCATTATGCCGCAGTTGATGCACATGTAGCTGCCAAGATTTTTGTTAAAATGATTAATAGTCTTTCTAGGAAAAATACCTGGATTTTTTTTAATAAAGAGATAGCAAATTTGTCAGATAACATAGATAAACTATGTGGTCACTATTTGGATATTAATTTTAATAGCAAAAATAACAAAATTGATGATACTGCTAAGTAAGTGTTTAAGGCAAGAGATGTTTTGTATTCAATTTGCAATATGATTCATATTTTTTTTCTTAATACATATTTTGTTATTTACAGTGGCAGATGCACAAAAATCAATAAAAGGAGGGAAAAGCAGAATACTGCATCGGCTAGAACAAAGCCATTGTACACTAACAGTTTTTTAGAAGCTCCAGATGGTGAACTTTTATGTACTTGTGATTATAAAAAAGCAATGTGGTAAATGAGTCTAATATTTCTTTAGCTGCTTTAATCTCATTAATTTAATATCCATGAAAGTTATATACTTAATTGATTAGCAATTAAACACTATAATTTTTAATTTATTTTCAATGCAATCTTTGAATCATCGTCAGCCTATTAATGTTCCTGCTGGCACAGTCCTTCCTTATGAAAGATTGGGCCATGACCCACCCACGCAGGCCCAGTACGGATGCTAACGACTGTAGATGCAGTTGGGACCAACGGCTTAACGTGCCTTCTGAAGCACAAAGTTGCTTACCACTTACGCCATCTATAGCTACTCGATGCAAAGTAATTTAATAATGAATTCTTTGAATGGCTCTTCCCAATTTTATTAGCAGGTTTTACAGAATTTTGTTCATCATCATCATCATCATCAGCCTATTAATGTCCCCACTGCTGAGGCACAGGCCTTCCCTATGGATGGAATAGGGAGATTGGGCCATGACCCGCCACGCGGGCCCAGTGCGGATTGGCGGGTGCTAACGACTGCAGATGCAGCCGGGACCAACGGCTTAACGTGCCTTCCGAAGCATGGAAGCACTCGAGATAGAAGTTTTTGGTCACCCATCCAATGACCGACCACTGCGAAAGTTGCTTAACTTCAACCATCGCAGCCGAACGCGATAACCACCTGCGCCATCGAGCTCCGCGCTAGAATTTTGTTAACACTGATTATTCAGCTTTAGCTTGTTTTTAACTTTATATTTTTGTTAGCTTTTTATTACGGCAACACTGGAGAGTGTACAGTGTTGCCTTTTAATAATTAAATTTAACTACTAGGTACATAGAAAAAGAGCTGGCTGACTTAGTAAAGGAGTCCCCGTTCACTGTCCGTTTGAGGTTCGAGCCGGCGGCGCGGTCCGTCGGTGAGGTGGGCCAGTACTACCAAATCGCCAAGGAAAATTGCTGTGTCGTTTGTGGAAATACTAACTCTTATATCAAGAAGAATGTTGTGCCCAGGGAATACAGGAGATACTTTCCAGGTGAGATAAGTTTGTCAGACGATTTTGTTATTTTATTTCTGAAGCAAGAAGGAGAGGCTTGAAGTTTTGGTAACTTCACCCATTTCACTGTAGTTAAAAATGTGACTATGAAGTAACTTTGTATTACGTTTCTTAGAATCTCTTACGTTTTATTTTCGACTTCGGCCGGAAGCGACGCGGCGAGAACTTTCTCACTGAAAGTGGTGTGGAATAACTCTACACATTTAAAAAACATAATCCGTAACGATTTTAGTTGAGTATGCAGATTTATAGAGGTAAGGATTCATTAAATACAGTAGTTAATATTTTGTTCTACCACAAGTATTGACGAAGTTATAAACAAATTACTAAACGAATTTTCGGCTGGCCGCTTGGTGACTGTGAAGTCGCAGAGCCGGTTCATAATAAATACAGATACCAACAATTGGTACATTATTTTTCGTACCGTGAAATAGCCTATTATATAAATTATAATATGCCCAACAGAGGTGATGAAAGACCACTCGTGTCACGACGTATTGCTGCTGTGTTTGTCGTGCCACCAGCGCAGTAATATGGCCGACCTCGACGTGCGGCTGCGACTGGCTGTCGAATGCGATGCCCCTCTCACTAATAGAGACTTCACGAAGTTCACTGAAGACCACACCGTTAAGTAAGTTTTATCTTACTCTCCACACTACCCCCTCAGGTTTCAGTGGCCTAGAGGCTCCAGACGAAGAGGAGCCTCCCACCGTGGGGACATGCCATCCGCCTGGAATACCTCTAGAGGCACTCGCCAATTCTCGGCTTGAGGTCCCCTTAGGATCTCGCCGTCCCCAAACCCGGAGACGCTGTAAAGGTCATCTGCGGCCAACAGCATACACACTGAAAAAAAAAATCTCCTCACTAACGGAACGGATTAACGGAATTGGATGAAAATTGCCACACATATATTTCATTACCTGAATTGGGACTTAGAACCTGCGCTGCGTTAAGAGGGGAGGCGGATAATGCTTTTCCAAACAAAAGTTCTCGACTGATTCCTTCTTGAATTTTATCAATAAGGAACTGATTTTCACACATAAAATATAATTTTACTCGTTCTATGCTGCTGTGTCTTCCTTTTTTCGATTACTTGTGTTCAGAGAAACTAGAGTCTAAAAGCCCTCTAAAATGCCAAAAAATAACAAATTATCCCCACTAAACATGTCTAGTATGCAGATTTAATAAGCAATTACAAAAAAGCAAAACATAGATGCCTAGTACAACTAACTACTAATTGTTCTATGAGTAAAAATTATTTTACAATATCTAATTTTCGAGTAGCAGATCCCCGAGAGCCAAACCTCGAAATTTGCAATTTTTATACGCAATTTTCAGCCTTAGTTACTGTTGTCCCTATCGCACGGTATTCGCCAATGCGCGACGGAAATAGTTTTTCAAATGCCTATTTCTCAAAGATCTCTCAGCTTAACAATCTTTCTGTGATCCATATCAGCTATTACTAAAACACGTCCAATACGGCTGGCTACCGTTGAAGGTATGGTCGTCCTAAGCAAAGCTTCGTCGCACGAATTCACATCGCAAATTATTGTTATACGACGTCGCATCGCATCGCAGTTTTGTGCCTCTAGGTGAGATTTCAGCAAAACAAAAACTTAAATTAATCCAAAAATGTCTGTCTGTCCATTAAAATTTTAATTGTCATAACTTTATTCAGATAATTCTACTTTTACTCCAATTAAACGGATAATAATTTCATAATAGGTATGTGATTTACAAATTCGCACCGTTTTAGGATAGTTTGTAGTCGACGTAATAAAATATTTTTCTATAGGTGTTTACTGTTTATAACTGTTTTACTTATTTTATTTAAACGATTTTTAAGTTTCTCGTTTAACTTAAAATTCATGGTGTATTATACAGATTTATATTTAATTACCTATGTTAGGAAAGTGAAGTCAGCAGCCCGCGCTCTCCTTCACCAGCGGGATAAGATCCCTCAGGAGAGATGCAGGCAGCTGGAGACCACAATCCTGGACTACTTCCCGGAGTGTGATGCCATCACACCTGACCTGCTGAGAGAGGCGGCCGACTTGCAAGCCTAGTGAGTGGAAATACACTCCCGGAAATATTTATCGGCCTACCTAGCATTTGAAGCTTTGACGGTCCCTAGCAATTTTTATTTTTAAGCATTTAACTGCTGGATCTTTAAATCTAAAGAAAAGTTTACTAGAAAAAATTCCACTCGGGCCAAGCAGCAGATGGGACTCGAACCCGCACCCTTTGCTATTCGGGCGAATACACTGACCATAATGCTACCGCGGCCCTGATGGCCGTGTCGAATTCTCTCTAGTGTTTCTTAAGCTGCAAGGCAGCGCCATCTCTTCGGATTGCAGGTAACCCACATTGTCAAATGAATGCCTTTACAAGTATTAAACATTTGAAAAATTTAATGTTACATTGAGCAAAAGTACCTACGCAGTTTTAAAGCTCATTCATTGACCATCTTTTAGTTGTGTTTTTGACATTATTACTCAACCGTGAACATTTATTTTTGCTACCGTTGAAACTTATAAGACTAAGTGGACCGATAGTTATGTCCGGAGGAATAGTTTTTATTAATACACGAAAAATAAGCTTAGAATAGTTACGCAGTTTATTCCAATGTAATGTTTTCATGCAATGAACAGCGCCAAAAGATGAATTAACTAATCCAAAAAGAATGAGTTCTTTGCTTATTAATAAGAGGTATTGTGCAACAATAGGGTATTTGACAGTATTAAAAATAAAGTGCTAATTGCTGGTATCTGTGTTTAGAATGAATATTTGCAGGGGTTTTTACAATTTTTACAAAAAAAATATTCATGATTTTACTAAAAACCCACGAAAAAGATAATAGTTTTCTTATCTATTGTCACGTGACCCAAAACGGTTGTGATTGGCGGAGCCTAAAATGACGTCACACGCAAGTAAACTTCCGGTTAAAGTGACATTACATTGTATCGTTTGACTGTTTCAATAACAGTCGTGTGACGTCACACACTGGTAAGACGCCATATTGTCCAGAGAAACGTTTTCGCGGCAATTTTTGATTGGTTATTTTTACTAAAATACACAACAGAATGATGAATATCCACTTTTTACGGACTCGATAAACATTAGTCAATAACGTGAGATTGTTTTCTAAAACTTGTTAAATACCCTATTGTAATAGTTAAAAAAATTAAATATCTTATTTACTTACCGTAAGCTAACAAGGTGGGAAGATGGTTGGATCAACATCCTATCTCCCTTACTTACTTTAATGGCGCAGGTGGTTAGCGCGTTCGGCTGCGATAGTTGATGTTAAGCAACTTCGCAGTGGTCGGTCAGTGGATGGGTGACCAAAAATCTTATATCTCGAGTTCCTCCGTGCTTCGGAAGGTACGTTAAGCCGTTGGCCCCGGCTGAATCTGCAGTCGTTAGCCGCCAATCTGCACTGGGCCCGCGTGGTGGGTCATGGTCAATCTCCCTAGTCTATCCATTGGGAAGGCCTGTGCCCCAGCAGTGGGGACATTAATAGGCTTGTAATGATGACTCCTCCAATGACAATTTTCTGTGTATTAACGTAGTGTCGAGAACGCAGACTACGCGGCGCACGGTCTGAAAGTGGTAGAACATTATATAAGGCAAGATGGCGGCCTACTACGTCTAGAATCTCTATGGCGGCAACATTTCCTGCAAAGGATGCGACCGCAACACATGCCTCGTCTTTGGTCCGTCACACACAATGAAGAAAGGCAAGAATTTTAATGTCTCATTTTTGATGTGTAACATCTGTCTTCTCGCTTTCGTGCTCGCTTTTGTGGGAGTGATTACATGAAGTGGGACGGAAGTGTGTAACAGGAAGTTTGGGAAGCGCGCGCTATTTGATTTGATTTTAGAACATAATGTTCAAATGGCTTATTCCTTTTGTAGTAGGTTTTATTTCTTTTTTTACTAATATAAGGTGAGGTTTCAAATGTTACACATAATACGCGACTACTGTTAGGCTCGCTCGTTTTTTATTTTATGTCTCTTAAGTCCCTTCTACATTCTATCTCTACCGCTATTGGCAAAAGTGTCGATTCTGGATTCTTAACTTTAAATTTAATTTTACATCAGTCTCGCCTTTTCATTCTATATAGCGAATGACAAGGATACACTATTGTCAATTTTAAGTTTAGCTTTAGGGAATCGTGGCAGAATCGACACCAATAATTCCCTTAATCAAGAGAACTGTACGTTTAAATAAAATACTCTACCACACATATCGCTATTGATTTTCGCCAATGACAGTCGTCGATATAATCAGCGTTATGCTGTCTTCATATGACAGACGGACAGCGATGGATTAATTCCGTTGTTACGTAGCGGTTCCGTCGTTATTATGGGATTAAAGGTTTACCGTTCAATTCGGCTAGCGGTAAACTTCTTATGTAATGCCGAAACTTCACATGGCTATTCGTTTTTGCTTCTTGTCACTAAGCCAGCAGGCTGTTCTTATCATACTTTCTTTTTTTATAATTATTTTCCATCACAACAGAGATTCATAGTTTGTCTTGTTTTGCAATTACAATGATGTGGCTCCTCTATTTGTGATAAACTGGTGCCTGAAATAGGTTTCAGCAATAGAAACCTGTGCTACAGGTATCTAGGCCCAATCACAGTTAGCAAGACTTCCACGAATGGTACAATACCTTCGGATAGTTGAAAATAAATAAATAATAATAACGAAAGCTATTCTATTTAATAGGTAGTTAGAAAATTATCCAGTTTCTAAAAATAATAACCAAAAGCTGCGTGTATGTGTGTGATAGTCTATGGAGTATAAAAGAGATACTATTTTCATGTTTACAAATAAGATATATAAACAGCCATGTGAATTGCCGGCATAAAACCATAAACAAAACATCAATCATTCATTTCATTAATTGATGCATTCGCTCGGATAGCGAAGGGTGCGGGTTCGAGTCCCGTCTGCAGCTTGGTCCGCGAGGAATGTTTTCTAGTAAAATTGTCTTTAGATTAAACAATTAGCAGTTACATGCTTATTAAATAAAAAATATAATTACGTTTTTGTATGTAAAATGGTTACTGCGCAGGATTCGTTGCCTATGATATATGCAGTATGCTTAATATGTTTACCGGCGTGTATAATTAGCTTTGTTTTGTTTTTGTGTAGGTTGCGCGTTCGTTTGTTAGATGGACGCCTAACGAACGAAGATTTGAAGGCGATAGGTCTCACCCACTGGATCAAAGAGAGGGAGTCGCTCAGTCTCACTCTAACAAAAGATAACGGATGATAACCGTAGACGTATAAGAATAGAGTAGGGGAGATATTGACTCTACTACAAGTGGAAGTGTCCCTCTAATAGAAAGAGAAAGAAGATGAGAGACCGCTGGCTTTCTCTCTCTCTAATCGCGCATGCGCATTGGCAACCGTAAACATCTTACTATTTCGATGTGATGCCATTGGATGCCATGCGTCACAAGAGAGAGAGATAACTAGCGGTCTCTCATCTTCTTTCTCTTTCTACAAGACGGACACTTTTAGAGTCGCCTTCCTCATCATCATCAGCCTATTAATGTCACTGCTGGGGCACAGGCCTTTCCTCGCTTTCCTCACTCTATTCTTATACCTCTATGATGATAACACGTCGTGTTGAGACTTTGATATTTTATAAATACGAAAGCGGGAAAAACGAACCACACGTTTCCGCGACTTTGGCGTACCGAATGTTCTATAAAAACTCAAGACCTTAAATCATATCATTGTTACCAAAGATTTGAATCGTTAGATATGCCCTGACACCGAAAACCTGACATATTTTGCAATGACGTTATGATGATGGCCGTTTTGACACATTACAATAGTGTAGTAAAAGTCAATTATTATCGAAAAAATAAAGTAATGCTATTATATGCGAGTCTCATCTAGATAGTTTTTTTTGGTAATTTAACCAACAGTAGCTGATTAAAAGGATTGAATTAAATAAAAAAATATAAATGTCTACATAAGCTCAGCGATCCTATCAGCGGCGATTGTTTTGATTTATTTATTATACATTTAGAATTTAGAAAAATACAAATTATGTGGTGACATAACTTAGCATTTGTATTGTACATTGCAATTATATTATAATTAGCTAACCCGGCGAACTGCGTACCGCCTTTATAACGGTCGATGAATTTGGCAATTTTAAATATCTAGCTTAATAGGGTATATTTCAAATTTTTGAAAGATTATACTTAAAGATTGGGACAAACAAATTGACGGACGGACGAACGGACTAAACGTACAGCGCGGTACCGAGAGAATAGTGTTGTGTCTTTTTGTCTTGCATTATTTTCCAACACTACTTTCTCTATCATGCGCTGTCCGACCAGATTTCAATATTTATGACAACGAAAGAAAATAAATTTAATAAACAATGAAATCTAAAAACTTACACTTTTCTCGCAAAAATGCCTGTGGTATTTCACCAACGTCAAACTGCCACTATATTCAGATGAACACCAAAGACTTTATATAATACCTAGACTGTGCACGAAAAAAATTCGTTAATCTAAAGTAAGATTTATATCTGTAGTAATAGGATAGCTATTGGTGTCGATTCTAGCATGATTCTCTAAACCTAAACTTAAATTTGACAACAGTGCATCCTTGTCATTCTCTGTACAGAATGAAAAGGAGAGACTGATGTTTAATTTAGTTTTAAGTTTAGAGAATCACGCCAGAATTGGCACCATTATCTTGATATTATATTGCGGCCGCTAGTAAAAACGGTCCTGAGTGAGAAAGCACCCAACGGGAGTGTGCCCCTTTCTAACGTCTTGCCAGCTCAATTTATCATTGGGTTTGGTAGAAATGGTAGAAAATGTCATCTTTTTCTATTTGTGATTTACTGATTAATTACCGATAAGAACGATTCGTAAACTATGAAACGTATTTAACATTTCTACAGTTCCTATAAATAATAAAATAATCATTGATATTTTTAAAATTAATCTAAATACAGAGTAAAAGTAGTATTTAAATGGTTGAGCCTGGAAATACTGAATGTAAGATGGTGATTTGTCGTTGCCAATAAATAAAAAAAAAAATGGTGATTTGTTTACTTGATCGTTAAATTGATTTACCCGCCTTGATTTGAAATATTGTAAAGGATATTGCTCACATTCCATACATGTTTGGCCTAGAGACCAATAATCATAAAAAATTGTTTCCTAGATTCGAAATTATATATAAATTACTGTAGAAACAAATATTATTGACGGACACCCCTGAGAACTTCTATAAACCATATACACTGAATGTTTTGGAGGTTGTTTGCAAATAGGTACATAGGTATTAAAATAATAAAAAACAAATAAGTAACGAAATTATGTATTAGATTCAGGTATATAAAGCATGTAGATTAATAGATAGTTGCCTGTTTTTAAAGTTAATGCATAAGAGTAACTTTTAAAATCAGGTATCATCTATGCATTTCCGGTTATAATAAGGTACTCTGTGACAGAAAATGTGTGTTATATTTTGTGAATGAGCCACAGATTAGAGGGAATTTTTACCTCTCGTTAACTAAAGAAAGCTTATTATTTTTGTTATGTTTATATTATAACCATATTTTAGATTTTTAGTGTATCACACCTTATAATGTGTTTATGGAGGCGTTTGGCGAAAAATGTACGGCAATAGACTTTATGATGTCGCCTACCATCTATAATATTTGTCTTAGCACATTTGCATGTAGTAAAAATGATAATATACTTGTGGATATTAATACCACAGTGAAAGATCTTTACACAATAGATTTGTTTTGATGTTATATAAACAACTTCGATCACTCTTTGGCTGAATGTTACTATACCTATAGCCATTAAAAATGATTCGTATGTTTTCCAAACCGGTAAAAATAAAAGTCCTTTTTAAAATGAATATATTATACAAAGGTGTCCGATAAAATCTAATGACTGTAAAATAAAGTATAAATTACGCCAAGAATTACCGTATATGTCAATATTTTTTGTACATTAAGGCCAATTTGGGCAACCTCCTTTGCTTATTAAAGTGTATTTTTTTTAATGGTGAACTCGTGTTGTGTAACAGGGTGCTACAATGAATCTTATCCCGGTAGCCCTTTTTCTTTTCACGGGTAAGTAAAACTTACAATCATATTCATTAAGTGAACCATGAATTTTGGAGGTAGATGAGTTTTTTGAGTGAGTGATAGTGAGAGATAGATATATAATGAGTTCATAGTACATATGTATTATTATTTTTAAAACCTACATAACTTCGTTTCGACTGCGTTTAGAGATATATGCATAGATGAGGTTTGTCGTATTAATTAACACTACATAATCTAAATTACGTAAAATAATATGTTTTTGTCGATGTAACAGCGAAAAAAAGGTGCCAAAATCAGGTATTGGCATTTGTGTTAAATTAATGGTAAGTCTGAAGATACATTATTATTACACTAAGTCTTTGTATGATGCACTTAGCAAGTTTAAAAATATACCATGTAGTTTTTATTGTAACTTATCATCACAAATTACTTACATGTTTAGACAGTAGCAGATGCTAACCACAATACTCTTTACAAGCTATATTAAAAAACATATACTAATAACAAATTTTGTCCCGCGTTATGCTTGAATATGGTCACCTCATTAGAAAGGAACACACTACTATTGGAAGCCCTCTCGCTCGGACCGTTTTTCACGCGATGGTGCACAGTCTAGGTATTATATAAAGTCTTTGGTGTTCATCAAAGACTTTATATAATACCATGAACACTGATTAGACAAGCCATGATGATACGCTACTTAGCCTATTCGAGTGCTGTCAGCTTTCAGAGCGGTCAAACTATGGTAATGGCATATCTAACGATTTAAATCTTTGATTAATACTATAGACGCTATGATGGCCGTTCTGACATATTACAGTACACATTATAGTGACGTGGAAAGTCAATCTATTGTCGAAAAAATCTAATATATTCAAATGAGAGTTACATTAAAGAGCTTTTTAAAATTTTGAATTTTTAACAATATTGTAGAAATTTTCTGGTTAATAAGGATTACTCAAAACGAAAACATAAATGTTTACTCACGCTCCGCTATCCTTTTGTAGCGGTCTTATTAATTTCTTGTTTACTTGCACATTTTGGGTTTCGAAAAATACAAATGCTGAGTGTTGTGGCGAATAAGTACACTTTAATTATGTTAATATATGTATGATAAAACAGTTGTTAATGATAACAACAATAAAATAAGTAAGTAACTTACTAACATATTTAATTTACTTAATCCTTTAAAGATTTTGTGAAATGTCAAATTCTGCCAGTTTTTTATTGAGTTAAAAATTATATATTTTATTTTTCAAACTAAATGGTTTTTTGTAACCATATTATAAGTTACACCATTTTATTAAATAATTTGTAAAATTTTAATTTTACGCCCTAAAATTACCGATTCAATAAATTTAATGACTAAATGCGCGTCTCTAATTACAATAAAGAACAGTAATTTATTTCTTTCAAATAAAAAACTCATTTAGAATATGAAAGTTCATGGACGCACAAACGTCGAAACGGCCATCGTATCCTGCCGCTACTATAGGTACTTGCCCCTACCTAATTTTTTTTTTTTTTTTAATTAAGATAAGAATAAAATGAGTGTAAAGTAAGAATATATCACATGTTTGTTAATTTTATGACAAATTTTGTATTAACATTTTTGTAATAAAATTGTTATCTATTGTTTTTTTTCTTATCATTAACTATCTATCACATTGCTGGGGTCGGGTTTGGTTAAAGTTCCTCCTCACAGAAACAAAATAAATGGCCTCTAATTAAATATACAGATGAACTGGTGGGTGGGATCATGGTATGAATTATTTAGTTACATTGATGTTAAAAACAAGTAAAAAACTTGCTAGGAAAAGAGAAAGTAATGTCTACTGAACTATTGGTCGAACATGACTCTCGAACAATTGCTTTGCTTCTCTCACACTGTTCCGCCTAGAGGTGGGTCGTCGACGTATTTTTCGTCGACGAAACGAAACCGTCCACTACCGTCCATCGACTAGTCGATCAACTAGTTGAATTCTTCGACTAGTTGACGTGATAACGTCAGGCTTTAAAGGGTTTATATCATGGAGCACCCCCACTAGAGTCCGCATCACACAAATTTTGTTTGGAATCAAAATCGCCAAAGTCGGTGGGGTGCAGGGAGGTCAGCCCCGCTGTGATTGGACGCGTCAAGGTCAGATCATATACTCAGTGCAGCGAAGTGATGAGGGTAAGATCGATTTTAGAATATCGATATTTTCTAATAGAGGCCTAGTACTTTGGTGCGCAAATGCGTAATCATACCCTCTCCAC